CATCAAAATTTTGATTATCATCATCTTTAACCAAATTTTTTAGATTTTCTTCATCATCCACATCTTCTTCATCATTTACTTGGTTAATTGCTTTCTCTGCATCACAATCAGTTTCATTAAATTTAATATTCGTTGTGATGAAGATGCGACCAGTAATTGGATCGTAAACACGATAATTGTTAATTGTTTTGGAATAACCAACAAAGATCACTTTCTTTGCTTTCGGATCAAATTTCTTCCGTCCAATATCAGGAATTTTGGAGTAACAAACACAACCAAAGACCTTTAAATGTGAGTATCTTGGTTTTTCCTTTGTAAACAGTTCCAATGGAGTCATTTCAGTTTGACCTTTACCTGGAATTAAATTCAATACATACACAGCGGTGTTCATAGCTTCTGCCCATAGAAATTCAGGTAAGTTACTGTTTAACATCATTGTTCGCGCTAATTCAGAAATTGTTCTATTTTCTCTTTCAATTCGTCCATTTTGTTGAGGGACATAAGGGGCACTCAATTCGTGATTAATATTTTTATTCTTAAGCAAATCAGTTACTCTAGAGTCAATGAATTCTTTTCCATTATCGGATCTCAGGATTTTCACTTTATTTCCTGTTAATTTCTCAGCTTCGTTTATGAATTTATCTAAATTCTCAAAAGTATCCGATTTAAATTTTTGAAAGTAAATTGATCGATAAGAACTTGATTCATCTTTGATTACCAGTGCATATTTGTTACCATTGATTGAAGGCTTAGGCATTGGACCCTGTAGGTCACAATGAATTGCTTCACCTACTTCGACTTTTCGAGTAGGAACTGTTTTAAAGCTTCTCGAGCACATTTTGCCTTTCACACATCCTTCACAAAAGAAATTTTCTGGTTCATAATCAATTCTAATTTTAGGTAACAATCCATCTCTTGACATTTTGATTATTTTATGGACATTAATGTGAGCTAATCTTTTGTGCCATTCACTTAAAGTAGCACCTTTAGTAACAAGAGCAAATTTATCGTTCAATTTTCTTGGTCTGATCATCAATTTAAATGAGTTTCCTATTTTATTCGCGACAATTACTTTTCTATTGCTCTCAATGTGATAAATTTCGGTGGTCAATGATGTTGACTTGAGGCCATAGCCTTTGGCAACAGTTTGAGCCCATGAGAAAAGGTTGAAATCGCCCAACTGAGGGACAAATAAAACATTGGTCAATCGACATTGTAACCAATTTGTACCATTGTAACACTCAACTAAAATGTCACCTTTCGCTATTGCTTCAATCTTTTTACCATCTCCAATTGTAAGTAAAATTGGTTCATTTAATTGTTGAAAATTTGAGAAACAATTAACATCACTGGTGAGATGATAACTAGCACCAGTATCTAATAACCACTGAGTTTGTTTTGATTCATTTTCATTCACTGCTAAACTGTTTCTGTTGTTGAAGCGATTGTTGAAGTTTCGGTTGTTATTGAAGCGATTGTTTTTACCTTGGTAATTTTTATTATTGAAATTAACTTGATTGTTATTATTTTGCTGTTGATTATGATTATTTTGATTATTGAAATTGCCCTTTGACCTGCATTGATTAGCTAAATGACCTTTACGATTACATTTAAAACATCGTTTATTACTTTTATTGAATTGTTTAAAATTGTTACCTTTACTAATCAAAGCTTCACCTTGTTTGTTTTCTTGATTGGTTTCTTTTTGTTTCTCGACAATTAATAATTGTGATTTTAAGTCATCTAACTTCAAATTGTAACCTGAAATCATTGCTAATTGAGTAGTTTCACGAAAAGATTGGAAAGTCAAAGGTAAGTCAGAAAGTATCTTAACGATCAATTCATCTTCATCAATTTTCATTCCTAAGTCACTCATTTGTTTAACAACAGAATCTAATTCGGACAGATAACTAACCACCGTGTGAGATGTAGTGAACTTAAGGTTGGTCAACTTACTTCTGATATTCCATTTATTTGTTGTTGTCCGTTGTTCTTTATGGTTAACTATTTTTGTGTACATCTCGAATGATGTTGAACAATTGATGATAAGATCAGCATTCGTTTTGTTTAATGAATTGAATATTATCGTTCCAGCAAGAGCATCACTTGCTTCCCAATCAAGTATTTCTTTATTTCTTCGGTTGACTGCAGCAGCGGTTGGAGGTCCAGACTCATCGGCCTCAAGTGGAAGTGGACACGGCTGTTGACCATTGGCGATTCTCCACACATACTTGGCCTTTAAAGCGCAAGCGATAAACGTTTTCCATTGTAAATAGTTGTCGGTCGAAAGTTTCAAACTGTTGGAATCGGAGGTTTCCATGTTGATGAAAAAAGTTCAATGGTAATTCAAATTTTGATTAAGTCAAACACTAATTGACACTCAGTCAAACACAAAATTGACACTCAGTCAAACAAAATTGACACACAGTCAAACACACACAAATTGACAAAATTGACACACAGTCAATCACAGTTACTTACAGTCAATTGGAAGATGCTGGCCCATAACCTGTTGGTTTAATTGAGATCTTCACATTGACACAATTTAACTAAATTAGTAATAATTTACTCTTCTCACAATCATGGTGAGGATTCAGCAGTTAAACGCGCAGTCAAAACAAAAATGAGTAAGGTAACTTATCGGTGGTGTTGTCAGTAACAGTGTGTAAATTTATTGTAAAGAGTTTCGTTTAAATAGAAGAAAGAAAATGTCCAAATTGGTCACTTTCGTGTTGTTGGTCGACTCATAATTGGTGGCAGTTGGTGACCTGGGCGATCAATGGACTCAGGATTATCAAGCTCATTAGGACAATAAAAATAAAGAAGAAAGAAGATTAACTCGGAGACGAAGAGGTTTGGAGCACAAAGAGAAGCGAGAGAATTGGATGGTCGCAATGGACGAGGCAAGGAGGACAAGTGACCATCATATGGATACTCATTCAAAGGATTACAATTAAGGGCTTAAACAATTATAATCAAGATGAGAAGGTGAAAAGCCAAGGAAAAGATGAAAAGATGAAAAGATGAAATTGTAAATTAAGGTAATTGGTCCAAACGTTTGTGTCCATATCTCGGTAAGTAATTTACTTAGGTTTTAATTTATATATATTAGATTAAGCTAATCAAGGTCTTTCTAATGATATATAACTTTCGTGTGAATATAAACTAATTCACTAAAATTAGTGTCGGTCCCAATGGTTCACTTGGACCAGAAAAATGGGTAAAAAATTAATGTTTTTAGTTAATTGCTGCTCAACCAATTTACCGATTAATTTGGTTTATATATTAATCGAACCTACTAAACAAGACCTTTGATTTAGTATAAAACAATCTAACTGTTAATTGTTGTTAATCAAAAAGTTGACCGATTTCAATGAATCTCAATGTTAACTCTATGGGGAAAACCAGATATGTTGTTGTTTGTTTCCAATGGGACTAAAGTTGTAGTCGCGGCTTCTTTAGTAGTAGAATCATTTAGTATAAAACAATCTAACTGTTAATTGTTGTTAATCAAAAAGTTGACCGATTTCAATGAATCTCAATGTTAACTCTATGGGGAAAACCAGATATGTTGTTGTTGTTTCCCAATGGGACTAAAGTTGTAGTCGCGGCTTCTTTAGTAGTAGAATCATGAACTGAACTCGAGCTAATGATTGATTCAAACCAACAAACTGCCCCCTGATTAATTGATTGATCAACAATTAATCCATTATTGTTAATTCAACAACGAGATCAGATGATTAACAACAATTGAAGGTTACAAATTGAATTAAATGTTAATTAGAACAATTTTTCGTTGGTTCCGTTTTCATTGATAGAGATAATTTTTAGATTTCTAGATCGCAGCGATCAATTTGAGAGATTTTCTATTGAAATTAGATGAGAAATAAAAAAGTTATATCAGACCGAATTTAACATGTGGGTCTATGGAAAATGCCGAGTTTTGGCCTTCAATCTCATTCGAATTAGGGTCGACACCACGAAAACGGAGCCAACGAAAAATGTTGAACCGTTCATTTCATTTTTAATCAATCAGCGCTAATTTAACCAACTTAAGCTATTCTAAATTTTACAAATTTTAACCAGATGATTGCGATCAAAGTTAAGAATAAATTGTGGAAATTTGGTTCAATTTGGTTAAGTATTAGTGCCACAATTAAATATAATTGTTGTAACGATTATATTGACTGGCAGTGTAACTTCCGTGATTAGTTAATTGATTGTCATTTAAAATTTATACTGATAGTGAATAATCAATTATTAACTTTAATTGCGGCAAACATGTTAATCAGTCAATTGTCTAAATGATTAGATTGCTAATTCTAATTAACTTGTATTTTCTAAATACAGTCCTCGGCAAAGTTTAAGGACAACAATCAATTGATTATAACTCGAGTTCTAATTGAGATAAATCGATAATTTTTTCAGAATGTAACAGAAATTGAAGGTAGTTACGAAAATGAATAGAAAAATTTTTTAAATAATTTTCATTAATTAATTATTTAACTAATTATTAACATTGCATAGCGATCAACTCGTCAAGAGTTTAAAGACGAAGAGCTTTTTGGCCAAAGAGTCAATTTTATTTTTTGGATATTCCCTTAATTGTTTAAGGTTATGCATTAGATTTTTGTTGATTTTTTTCCTCTTGAGACAACCTTATCCTGTTGACTTCCATTGCTGAATCAAAAATTAATACAATTTACTTAATTTGTTACCATCCACCAGAATAATTACCAAACAAGTCTACAATTTAAATTGTTACTAATTGTGATCCATTTTCACTCAATTGTCCGACCAAACAAGAAAAAAAAAGATTCTTAATTGTAAACACCAAGAGAAAACTTTAATTTCCAATTGAAATATAATTTTGTGTTCTAATTATTTGACAATCGCGAGTCAATTTGCTAATAATTTACGATACCATCAGTTAAATTGTTCAGTCAACAATCAAGCAAAATCATAATCAATGTGATAAAAAAAAGAAAATCAAATCAGTCGATGGATAAGAGCTTCCATCTATTGTCTCTTCAGGGAACTTTGATCAGCTGGAGTTCAACCTTAATCTTTGTTTTTAATTCTCGACAATTAATTAACCAAGTTTTTGTTTTGAGATATTTTTCTATGACCTCTGATCACCATGTCTTCAAATGCCATGAAGGTAGTCTTTGAATTCCAGAATTTGCTTGTGATTCGTAACTCTGATCGTTTTCATTAATCTTTTTTTCTGTTTTTTCTTGTCCATTTTAGCTCATCGTTAAACATCATGTTCCATTGATTAAATTTAGAAAAGGTGGATTAGACAAATTAACCTCTTTGGTAAATGAACCAACATCTAAATCTTCATCATCTTCTAAAAACGTTAACATGATCAGACTTGAAGATGTACCGTTAAAATATCAAAGGAAACCATTAAGTAGCCTTGAAATGGCGATAATTGAGGTGAGAGAAAAATAGTCAATTCAATCAATCTCTCAACTGTTACAACTTAAACTTATTCATTCTCATCTTTCATTGACAGAGAGGAGGCCCCGATTTGTGATCTATTTACAAATACACACTCACATTGGATTAAGATTATATCGATTTAGTAAAAGGGAAAATATTTAATTACAAATTCATGTAAAAATAGTTGTCATCAAGAACACTAGATGTCACATAGGAATGAACAGTTAGCCGAATGTGAAAAAAACCAAATCAAGAAACTGTAATGAATCTTGGCAACAATTAAATGTTAATCATTAATTGGTGTTTTTAAATTGTTACGCTTATTAATGGAAATATTAACCATTAATTTAAAGGTTAATTAGTAAATATTTTGCTAATTTATTGTTAATCTCCAAAGAGTAACCCTGGTTACCAAGAAATCTACAGATTATCCCAAGTGATTTTATCTCAAATTGTGATCCAGAGAATCGAGAGTCTTTTTCACTCTTTGTCTTTTCCACCATTTTACCAATTAGTTATCGCTGTTAATTTAATTAGTTAATTCGGTTACTCTCTAATTCACCTATTAACTGTTCCTGTTTCATATGTGATTTAGTTTCCACCTAAATAATTTAATAGTACACGGAGAGTTAATCTCTCTATTTGATCAACTCTTCTCTTTTTTAGCTTTTTCTGTTTTAATTTCTATTGTTTTGTGTTATTGTTGTGATTATTATGGGCTTGTTAACACTCGGACAACCTCTGACCTGGGATGAGACACGTAAATATGCTGAACATGTTCGTGAACACGGAATACAACAATTTATCCATGCTTATCATAGACTAAAAGATAGACAAGATGAATATCTTAAATGGGGCGATGAGGTAAGGTCGCAATTCCTATTCTCCTTTAATTGTTCAGTTGATTCCAGCAAAGGAATAGACCAACTATTGGTATTCTATTGATATCACCAATAGATTTATGTGTCACTGCTACTTAATCACGATTTATTGATTGTTTACTTTTTTTGCTTGATCATCGTTAGAGTTTTTTTATAAGTGATGACAATCTTACCCCAAGAAATATACTCACAATCTAATTACTTTATAGTATTTTTATCCCATTTAATTTATCCTAATTTTATCTATTAATCATCCTTAATTACTGCTCTCTTTATAGATCGAGTACATGCTGATTAAATTTGACAGCAAACAAGAGAAAGCCCGAGTTTGCCTTAAGGCTGGTGAGATCCTTTCGATTATGGATGAACGGGAAGCGAAAGAAGGTGACAAGCGAACTTGCCTTTGGAGACCTGAGGTAAAAATGTTCGATCGATTGGTCGAGTTTTCATCACATTTTAATGGTCGACATGTAATTTTTTTCTCTCATTGCAATTCACCAATCACTTCAGTTCGGAGCTTTCATGGTTGAAGGAACACCGGGTATGCCTTATGGAGCATCAGATCTTGATATTACTCTGCTCTCGAATTTCAATGAGGTCGAAAAGAACATGAAAATCCGAAGAAAGGAAGTTGAATCATTACTATCCAAGGACGAGGCTCTTTTGTGTATCACAAGTTTCCCCAGGTAAATCTAATCCATGGATGACACAATTGCACTTGATTATATTTTACATGAGATATACTCATGTCATTTTTACCTGTCTCTTGTTCATCATCATCATAATTATTATTATCTAAAAGCTTTTTAATTCTGATCTATATTTACTTATCTTGATAATGTTTTATATCTTTATCTTTGTCTCTGTTTTAAACTCATATTAAAGACTCGGATGCAAAGACTTTACCTGGCCATTAATTCATCACGATCCTGCTAAAAGTGTCACCGGATCAATTTTTTTCCCCGACAAAGCGATTTACCAAGGTCATCCGAGATTTCGGTAATTTCTCAATCTTTCATTTCTTTTACTTTTTGGTTGTAAAACTAATTTCATTTTTCGACTTTTTTCACCGACTATTCAGAACTATTGCTCAAAATATTAGAAGTCGAAGAAAAAGACGAGTGATAATTAACATTCCCATTTACCGTGATGTCAAAACTCCCGATCCTTTCATCGAGGATTTTACCGACAATGAAGCGAAACAAGCGATCAAAGCGGATCATGTTTATATGGATGCCATGGGATTCGGTATGGGCTGTTGCTGCCTTCAAGTCACTTTTCAAGCCTCGAATCTTGATGAAGCGAGGATTTTGTATGACCAATTGACACCTTTATGTCCCATTATGATGGCTTTGAGTGCAGCATCTCCCATTCAAAGGGGGCATCTTTGTGATCTCGACTGTCGTTGGAGTGTAATATCTCAAGCAGTCGACGATAGAACCAAAGAGGAACTTGGAGAAGAACCTTTGAAGTTTTCCAAGTTTCGAATAAGTAAATCACGATATGATTCAATTGACTCTTACATCTCACAGGACGGAAGTAAATATAATGACATTCAATTAACTTATGATCAAGTTTATTATCAGAAAATGGTGACTGAAGGAGTAGATCCTCTAATTGCCAAACATATTGCTCATCTTTTCATTCGTGATCCAATTACCTTGTACCGAGAGAAAATTGACCAAGATGATGAAAAGGAAATGGATCATTTCGAGAATATTCAATCGACTAATTGGCAAACAATGAGATTCAAACCCCCACCACCATCGGCTCCTGGAATCGGGTGGAGGGTTGAATTTCGTCCAATGGAAGTTCAAATAACAGAATTTGAAAATGCTGCCTTAGTTGTTTTCGTTGTACTTTTAACCAGAATAATATTATCTTACCGCCTAAACTTATTATTACCAATATCTAAAGTGGATGAGAATATGAAAGAGGCCCAAAAACGCGATGCCGTTCAAAGGTGCCGATTCTGGTTCCGTAAACGCATAATTACCCATACTAGTCCACCCGAAGCTTCAGCCTGTTTACGAGCAGCCAGTTCTAGCGAAACTAATCCATCCGATCAGAATTGTAAACAAAACTCTAATCGTAACCCAAACAACAATATCTCTGAGAATGATATCGACGAATCATGTGTGCTATTAACCATCGATGAAATAATTAATGGAAAAAGCGGAGAGTTCCCCGGATTGGTACCTCTCTTGAAACACTATTTACTTAGTGTGGAAATTGATGCAGAAACACATTGTACAATTAGCCAATACCTTAATCTGATTTCTAGTCGAGCCTCGGGTAAATACTTGACAACCGCTCAATGGATCCGTCACTTTGTCCAAAGTCACACTGATTATAAAAAAGACTCCGTTGTTACCGATAAAATCAATTACGATCTACTTAAGACAATCAAAAAAATAACCAAAGGAAAAATTCTGTGTGAGGATCTTGTTGGTAATTCAAGTTACATCAAAGAGCGACTGTTATCCCATAAAATTTAATTACTCCAATCTAATCAACAAAAGAAACAAACTGTTCTTACAACCCCAGCAATTTAAATTGTCCCCAAATCATAATTAATTGTCTTTGGATGTTTTGTTGTCTATTTGTCCAATGGAAAAAATCAAATCCTTCTTTTGATTACAATTACATTTAGTTTTTATTTAGTTAATTGGGTAAACGTTTATTCTAATGTTGATTATGATCACTAATTAATTTAAATCGAGATGAGAAAAAGTTTCGATCATTTTTTTCGTCTTTTTTTTCAAGTTAATCAAAAACTTTTATCGTTAAAATTTCAATCAATTCTTTATCTTGTACAATTTACTTAATTTGTTACCATCCACCAGAATAATTACCAAACAAGTCTACAATTTAAATTGTTACTAATTGTGATCCATTTTCACTCAATTGTCCGACCAAACAAGAAAAAAAAAGATTCTTAATTGTAAACACCAAGAGAAAACTTTAATTTCCAATTGAAATATAATTTTGTGTTCTAATTATTTGACAATCGCGAGTCAATTTGCTCATAATTTACGATACCATCAGTTAAATTGTTCAGTCAACAATCAAGCAAAATCATAATCAATGTGATAAAAAAAGAAATAATCAAAATCAACCAATCGATAAAAGATCGTTGAAGTTTCTTTCAAGTTACTTTTATAGCTTTTCTCTTTTTTTATCAAATCATTTAATCAATAATATTGAACAATTAACTTTTCAGCTCCGGAAGAACACAAAACCCCAATAGAAAGAGAAGATAAAAAATGAAAAGAAAGAAAAGAAAGAGAAGATAAAAAGAGAGAGATGATCAAGTTCTCATCACAATAACATGAAACGTGGCAAGAAAATTGTGTTTACTTTTCATTTGATTATCTGTTTGTTTATTTTTGATTGTTGTTGATTGGAATCCATTTCCATTGGGAACTCACATTACATATTAATTAGCCGTTTAATCATTGATCAAGTTGTCAAAATCTCGAAATCAACAAGTGTCATCAAGGAAAATCGATCAACAATTAATGTCAACATCGGGATCAAAACAATAGAATCGTTGAAACAATGAACTCTTCTTGTTATATTATCTTAATCTCGTTGATTCTTGATTTATTAGCTTTCACAATTATCTTACCCCTTATGCCTTCAATTTTGGATTATTATGAAACCAATGACAAGGTAATTAAGAGAAATAATTAAGTGTTTTCATCCTTTTCTCTGATGGTTTTGTTAATGTTTTCTTCATATAGAGTGGCCTTTACAACCAATTCAATTCTATCATTGAAACGTTTAGAATCTATTGTGGTGCTCCAAATGATTTGAATAAAGTTCTACTCGCTGGTGCGATTGGATCTTGGTTTTCGTTTCTACAGTTCATCTCTTCCCCGTTCATTGGTGCTTTTTCCGATGTCTATGGACGTCGAGTTTCAATGATAATCTGTCTCGTCGGGATTACGATCTCTCATCTTATCTGGTCACTTTCTTCGGGCTCTTTTTTGTTGTTTACCGTCGCTCGAACATTGGGTGGACTGTTCAAGGGGAATGTCAGTCTTTCGACGGCGATTGTTACTGATTTATTGTCACAGTCGGAAAGAGGCAAAGGAATGGCCTTAATCGGTGTCGCTTTCTCGATCGGGTTTATCTTTGGCCCTCTGATTGGTGCCTTCTTTTCATACTATTCAAAAACAATTATCTCTTCAGGTCAACATTTTTTTGCTCTGCCCGCAATTACTTCAACCATTTTAGCTGCAATTAACTTAATTTTCATCTACATTTACTTCAAAGAATCACTTGCCAAATCAAATAGGGTAAGAGGAATCAATTTCCTGGTAGAAAATCAATTTCCATTAAATTAACTTTGATTAACTTTCCTTTCAGGCAAAATCAACAACCAAAGGTTTGATTCAAGCTTTTGGTTATGTTAATCCAATCTCGTTGTTTGGTTTCACGAATGTTCAAAAGATACGATCTGAAGGTAATTATATAATAATAATTTTCCAATATTTCGTTAATTTAATTGTTCTGTTATTTTTTTCGACCATTAGAATTAAAAACAATTCGTGATTTGGGATTCATTTACTTTCTCTACTTATTTTTCTACTCTGGACTTGAATACACTCTAACTTTTTTAACTCATCATAGATTCGGATACACAAGGTAACAATTTCATCTCAATCAAATTTACTGTAATAAACCAATTAATTACTTTCTTCTTTATATGTAGAATGCAACAAGCAAAGATCTACTTATTCAGTGGCATTTTAATGGCACTTTTACAAGGAACTTACGTTCGTAGGATAAAACCGAGTAAAGAACTTGGAACGATAACCATGGTGAGTTTGGCTAATTAGTTGATGATAAAGAATCTTAATCACAATTATAATTCTCTCAATAGGGACTAATGGTTATCATCATTGCATTTCTAACAATCGGTTTGTCCCAAACTATCCCACAATTGTACACTGGACTGGCTTTCTATTCATTTTCATCGGCGGCTGTTGTCCCTTGCTTAACGACACTCGCATCATCGACTGGACCTTTGGACCAAAAAGGGACTATTCTTGGTACTTTTCGATCTCTCGGCTCATTGGCTCGAGCCTTAGGTCCAATAATATCTTCCTTAAGTAAGAAATCGAGTCTTGGTATCATTCAAATGGTTCAACTAATCTCGTTTTCTTTTTCGTTAATTTCAGCTTATTGGCGATTCGGAGCCGTAATTAGTTACTCAATTGGTGCAATATTTTTCATCTTTCCACTTTTATTATCAAAATCATTGACTAAACGTTTAAATGCTCAAAAAATCAAATTAATTGGTTAAATTTGCCCATCGACTAATCAACATTCCCCCTCAGTGATTATCACCATAAAAATTATGTCAAAGACTGTTCCAAAAATGAAAGATCTCTGCAATAATTAATATATTTCTATTATGCATTTAAATCTATTTTATATTTTTAATTGTCAATAAATGACTCAATACAATTAAAAGTAATTAAAATTAATTTTGTTCAAACAACATGACAACATCAATGTATTAAATTTTGATCCAATTAACGCAATCAGAATATTGATAAAGTCAGTGTTACCGATAAGATAAAATAATTTTTAATGAAATCTATTTAATCGATTAATTAACTTTTCTATTAGTCTATTTAATTTATCGAATCGAAAAAAAGAATTTAATCAGATTATTTGAATTTCGCGGTTTTCGCAAACTGGTGACATAAAATGAGATTTTTTCTCTTCTGGTTGATCAACTTGAATTCATTGCAAACATCATCAATTTGTATCAGAATTTGATTGTTGCTGATATTTTTTAATTTCTGATTTAATTCTCACTTTTGGTTTAACAATTAGTTAATTGTGTTCATCTAACCAACATGGAAGTAAGTAGATTGAATGTCATATTCATTTTCTTTATTTAGACAAATCATATTATTTTATATTCTCTTTCCTTTTCTCTATTAATCTGGTTTTTCAATTTTTTTCTTCATTCTGTTTCCTCATTTGTTTAATTTTTTGGTTGTTTATATTAAGATCAATGTGATCTTTTCGAATTTTGATCAAATTTCAGATCAATCAGTTTAATTTTACTCTTTTTGATTCTTTCGTTTGATTTGCAGTTAGAAATTTTGAAAGCTGGAACCAGCGAATCTACAATTGTCACTCTTGTTGATGTCAGTCCATCTTCTAAGATCCGGGATATCAAGAAATTAATTTTCAAACAGAGTAAGTAGTTCAATTATTGAATTTGTATCTAATTGTAGCTGCAAATGGATCAATCTAATTGTCTAATATCATGTTTGCTTCTTTTTTCTCAGAGAAATCATTGTATCCAGACAGACAAGCACTTCGTCTTGAACCAAGTAAGTTTAATTGTTTGTAAAATATCAAACCTTAATCGATCTTTATTCCAATTTATCATTTTAATTCGTCATTTGCTGTCAATTTTGTTCACAATCTATTCTTAAACTTGCCCTTTCTTGTCTTTTCTTATTGCTATTAAAATTAATTTTAAATTTCTTTCCTTTTACAGGGGGAAAGTCCCTTGATGATGATGTACAGTTAAAGAGCATTAGTGGTAATCTCAAAAATGGTAGGAAACTTTTCCTCAAAGACTTGGGTCCACAAATCGGCTGGAAAACTGTTTTCTTCTGGGAATATTTCGGTCCTTTGGTTTGTTACATGGTTTCTTATACCAGACCAGAACTTCTCTACGGTAAAGGAGCTGCCACTAAACCGATGCACCAAGTAGTTCAGTAAGTGAATCAGGGGAAATTATCTACACAAAATTATTTTATCCAAATATTTCTCACTTAAATAACTTAATCTTTTTTATTCTCTTTTCCTTTGAAGATATGCGGCTATTTGCTGGTCATTCCATTATGCTAAGAGAATTATTGAAACTTTATTCGTTCATAGATTCTCTCATGGTACAATGCCTCTTTTCAACCTATTCAAGGTATAATCAAACTCTCTTACAACTTAGAATTCGTTCCGAAAAAATTCATCCTAATTTATTACATATCTTTTTACAGAATTGTTCTTACTATTGGGGTTTCGCTTTCTACATTGGATATTATGTCAACCATCCTCTTTACACTCCACCATTATTTGGAAGTCTCCAAATAAACATTGGGCTCATTGGATTCATTTTATCTGAACTTGGAAATTTCAGCATTCACATTGCTTTGCGAAATCTTCGACCTGCCGGAACAAGGGAAAGAAAGATACCAGTACCAACAATCAATCCATTCACGATTCTCTTTAACTTCGTCTCTTGTCCAAACTACACCTATGAAGTTTACTCATGGATCTTTTTCACAATCATGACTCAATGTTTACCTGCTGGTTTATTTGCTGCTGCAGGATTTTTCCAAATGACTCTCTGGGCCTTTGCAGCGGCCTCAGGGAAGCTGATGAATTGAAATTCATCGTTTCCGGCAGTGACAACCGTACCAGGGAGAGGGGAAAAGGGAGGGAAAGGTGATGGGTTACAAAAATTAGAAATAATCTCGAAGTGCCCCTGAGGCCAGAGTTACATATTCAGGTGAATGGATAAAATTTGACTATTCAAATATTAAAGATTCCATCAAGGTTGGTTACCGTGGACGTCAAGTTCGTGGAATCGGTTCATTCTACTCTGTGGTTGATTTGTTGCTTATTATCAGTATTGTCCATTGGTCTTTTAAGTTTACTTTGGTGTTCCATTTACCTCGAAAAATCCTGAAATCGATGGAGCATCTATAACATCTAACACTTCCGTATGCTTATATTATTGATACTGAGGTGACTTTGTTGAGTAATCCACTTATGATCTCTCACGAGAATTGGTCAGTGGTATTATCTTTTTTTTTTGAATCAATTATAATAATAATTTTCCTCTTATTTTAAATAAGTTTTCCATGATGGAACAATTTTTAAATTACGAACTAAACGTTCAATGTTATATTATAATATATCATAAGATAAGAACCATGCGGTCCTACTTATTTTTTAAATTTTTGGGTATAAATTGTTATTTTATTTTTACTTACTTGGTGTCAAGTTGTTCTACCAACACTTATTTACGAACTTTTTCACAATTAAGTTGATTTTAATTCCAATTCCATTTTAATTAGTTAATTTAAAAAAAAAAAACACAAGAAAAAAAAAAATTAATCCTAATCGAATTGGTGATTCTCGAACCAACGCCATCTATCGGTTGATAGAAAAGTGTGTTTCTGTCATTCAGTTGGAGAATCTGAAGCAGCCGTAAAGATGAACATTCAGTTTGTTTATTTGTCTGTTAATTTCTGTTCTTCTACTTAATCAACTTATTTTTGTTAATAATGTTCCATTTGGAATTGAAACATAACCTCATCCGATGATTATGTTTACCTGTTCTCTGATTGTACAGTTGTAGAAGGAATAAGATTGTTTTTTTCTCTTTTTGTTTCAATATATTTTTGTTTTTCTCTTGATTTTGATTTTCGGTTCACAACCAAAGTGATGGTTTTGGGAAAGGTTTTCAAGGTTTGGCATAAAGTTGATTCGGTTTACTCGGTTCTTTTGGAGAAAAGGAATGATAAGAGTCAAGCTCTTCTCTTCGAAGCTGAGGTTATCACCACTTTGAGTAAGTTTCGCAATTGTTTTTTTATTCTCTCGCAATTATTCCGACCATCTTTTGTTTCATTCTCTAGTTCCTTGTCTTTACCTTCTGTTGTTGTCTCATCCTGACCCGTTCCGCTTGGGAACAATCAGCCTTAAGCTAAAGTCAATTCTTTATATTTTCAATATTTACTCATCTTCATCTCGTTTATTTTTTGTTTCTTTCTATCAACTTTTTTGTTCTTCGATATTGAAAAGGTTTCTTATTCTTTTGATCCTCTCTAATTTGTCATACGTTTGGTAAGAGAATAGCCTTATAATTCTTTCGTTCGTTTGACCTTAGAACTCACTGTTTTGATCGTATATATTATCTAATATTTGATCTTCTTGAATTCTTTTTTTGTTCTTTTTCTCTCTTCCATTTTTGTCCATTGGAATCGCCATTTTTCTGTCTCTCAAAACATCGAAAATAATTTTTATGGAAATTCATCAATCATTTGGGTTAATCATCGCTCACACCTCTAACTATCCTTGATTATTGTTAATTATCGGTGTATTACATTTCATCATTAGCTGGAAGTGAAGCTGATTCTGTTAAACATTTGTATACTTCACTTGATGATGCCTATGGATGCTTAGGTGTACTTCAATTACCTCTGGGTGAGTCTTTTGTTTTCTTTTTGCATCCAACTCTATCATATAAATTGCAAACCTTGATTACTATTAGGAAACAATGTATATTATTCACGGAATCTTTGACTAATTTTGAATTATGCATCGATTTAATTTGCTTACCTCTCTAATTATTCAAATCTTTTTCCTTTTTCCATCAAATTTAGGCGACAGTAGTCATCTTTTGTACCTTGTTCTGGTCAACGCTTGTGTCTCTGTTGGTAAAATCGCCAAATCGGAAATATTTCGAATCACTGATACAACATTCATCTCACTTCGAAACAATGCATCAGACATCGATAAAATCCAAGAGATTAGGCGAGTCCTTAACTCGGGTACTTTTTACTTTTCATGGACTGCACTGCAAGACGAAAAACCTTTTGACCTAACGTTAAACGCACAACGAAAATTACGAACTAACGAAACGGATAATCGTTTCTTTTGGAATCGAGTGTTTCATCTACATTTTATCCGTTATGGCGTCGATTCAGATAGATGGTTATTGAAAGCCGTTTGTGGAGGAATAGCAATCAGTACCGTTTATGTTGGTCATCAACAAGCTCGAGCCTGTCTTATATCTCGTTTATCCTCCGAACGTGCTGGTACACGTTTCAATGTTCGTGGTGTTGATGATGATGGTTACGTGGCTAATTTTGTCGAAACAGAACAGGCAATTTACCTCGACTCAAGTGTATCTTCTTACATTCTTCTTCGAGGATCAGTTCCATTATTCTGGGAACAGCCAGGTATCAATTTGGGCTCTCATAAGATCAAAATGTCCAGAGGAAGTGAAATTTCTCAGCCGGCATATGATAGACACATCGCTTGTCTCCGTAAGCGATATGGTAAATCAACATTTATCAATCTAATGGGAAGTAAAGAGGGAGAAACCATGTTAACCAAAATGTTCAAAGCTCATCATAAAGCTTCTTGTTTAACCAAAGAGATTCCGTTGATCAACTTTGATTATCATGCACAATGTCCAAGAGGTCGTCAAGATAATCTGCAAAAGCAACTTGCTTTTGAAATTCGTTCTCAAATGAAAGAATTCTCATTCTTTTCAATGGGTGAAGGGGTAGAGAAAAACTCACAGACCGGATGTTTCAGAGTTAATTGTGTAGATTGCTTAGATAGAACCAACAGTGTACAAACTTTTATTGGTCTTGAGGTTAGTAAATAGTTAACATAATCAATTTAAACGTCCAATTATCTAAATCTCTCAACTTCTTTTCCTCAATTCAGATTCTCAAAAAGCAACTCACTGCTTTGAATTTAACGGATAAAACGACAATCGCCTCTCGGTTTGAAGAAACTTTTAAAAATATGTGGATTATCAATGGAGATCAAATAAGTCGTATTTACGCTGGAACTGGAGCCCTTGAAGGCAAATCAAAGGTAATTAATAAAACCTGTCAATCAAATTTCTTCGTCTAGAAAATCATCATATTGGTTATTTTATTCTCTTTTTGTTTCCGCTCTTCCAGATCAAAGATAGTACTCTTTCCGTCGCTCGAACGATACAAAATAATCTTCTCGATAGCAGTAAACAGGAAGCTTTCGATGTCCTTTTACTTGGTAAATCAATGAACCACGAAACAGCTGACAAAGCTCGATCTCTTCTTCCACAACATTATCTCCATCTTCCAAACAATATCCTCATTGCTCTCTGTGATCGTTATCTTGAATTTACTAAACCAGTATCAATCAAAGTCGTCGTTGGTACTTGGAATGTTAATGGAGGAAAATAGTTAACATAATCAATTTAAACGTCCAATTATCTAAATCTCTCAACTTCTTTTCCTCAATTCAGATTCTCAAAAAGCAACTCACTGCTTTGAATTTAACGGATAAAACGACAATCGCCTCTCGGTTTGAAGAAACTTTTAAAAATATGTGGATTATCAATGGAGATCAAATAAGTCGTATTTACGCTGGAACTGGAGCCCTTGAAGGCAAATCAAAGGTAATTAATAAAACCTGTCAATCAAATTTCTTCGTCTAGAAAATCATCATATTGGTTATTTTATTCTCTTTTTGTTTCCGCTCTTCCAGATCAAAGATAGTACTCTTTCCGTCGCTCGAACGATACAAAATAATCTTCTCGATAGCAGTAAACAGGAAGCTTTCGATGTCCTTTTACTTGGTAAATCAATGAACCACGAAACAGCTGACAAAGCTCGATCTCTTCTTCCACAACATTATCTCCATCTTCCAAACAATATCCTCATTGCTCTCTGTGATCGTTATCTTGAATTTACTAAACCAGTATCAATCAAAGTCGTCGTTGGTACTTGGAATGTTAATGGAGGAAAACATTTCAATAGTATAATTTACCGTCGTAGTGATCCACTTTCCGATTGGCTTATTGATTATAAAAAGTCTAGAGCCTTTCACAATATAATGGATCTTTCTCTGGACGATTCTCTTGGTGAGATTTCTGATGAAAATGCTCCACCCGATATCTATGCTATCGGATTTGAAGAAATTGTCGATCTCAATGCAAGTAACATTGTCGCTGCAAGTACATCTAATCAACGTGAATGGCTCGTTGAACTCCAAAAAACCATCTCACGGGACACTAATTATGTTCTAGTAACTAGTGAACAACTTGTTGGTGTTTGTTTATTTATTTTCGTTCGACCTCAACATGCACCATTTATCAGGTAATCTAAACCTTCATCTTCAATCCTTTGTTGGATTAACTTTATTATGATTCTATCCAGAACCCAATTCTTATAGCTAATTAGTTGATTCTTTTTTTCTGACCATGACACTTTTCCTCACCGTCATTTCTTTTTTGTCATTGTCACTTGTCGAGCAACAATAATATCAGTCGCACTTTTTGTGCTTGGTCATGCAAACAAAAAGTTACATTGAACAGGAACCTTGTTTTTCTGAGCAATTTCATTCAGTTTTCTTTATGAAAGTCATTTTTTCTCTTCATCTATCATCTGCTGAATTTTCATCAAAAATACTCCCCTAATTGTTGAAGCGCAAATATATTACCCAGATAAGATGAGATTAGCTCAATTTGGTTAAGGTGTTATTAAGATTAAACAATCAGACTGAATCGTAATCAAAAAGGCGTAAGCAGATTAAGTCTTCATGTGATTTCTTGAACATTTTATCATGAGATTAATATTTGAAATCCCAATAGTGATTCTCAAAAATGTTATCTAATCGCAAATCTATTCCAAATGTTGAAAACAACTTCAGTAAATAAACGATTATGTAAGCTCTCTGTCAACAGTTAACTTTAACCTCAAATCAATTGCCCAAAAAATGTTGTTTAATAGCCGAAGGGTAATTTTTTATTACCTGTTCTTTGAGTTTTCTTTTTGTTACATTTAGCTGAGTTTTCTAACTCATTATTACCCAGTTTCTTTAGAGATCCAAAAGCCAAGAATTATATTATCTCATAACGAAAGAAAAGACTTCAATTCAACTCGCATTGATAATTTATTGCTTCTTTTTTCTCTCTCTCGGCTTATCCTCTGGTCTATTCAGAGATGTTGCTGTCGATATCGTTAAAACTGGATTAGGAGGTGCAACTGGTAACAAAGGTGGAGTTGCCATTCGAATGCTTTTCCATAATACTTCGATATGTTTTGTTTGTGCCCATTTCGCTGCTGGTCAATCTCAGGTCCAAGATCGAAATGCTGATTATGCAGAAATTACTCGTAAACTTAGTTTCCCTTCAGGACGAACCCTTAATTCTCATGATTTAATCTTCTGGTGTGGAGATTTCAATTACCGAATTGATCTGGATAATGAGCGTGTCAAAGATTATGCTCGTTCACGTGATTGGTCAAATCTAATGGCTAATGATCAACTGAAAGTACAACAAGCCAAAGGAAAAGTTTTCCGTAATTACATAGAGGGTGAAATTAATTTCCCGCCAACTTATAAGTATGACATTGAATCAGATGATTACGATACAAGTGAAAAATGTCGAGTGCCCGCTTATACTGATCGTATACTCTTTAAAAAACGTTACGCTACTCGATTGGGTGAAGACTCACAGAATCTCAATTATGGTAACATCATTTTCTATGGTCGAGCAGAGTTGAAGACCAGTGACCATCGACCTGTTATCGGTGAGTTTGGTATCGACGTGTTAAGGCTCGATGATGTAGCATTAGAGGAAATATTTTCCCGCCTCGTAGCAGAATCGGGACCACAAGATGCTTGTGTCTTAGTTAAGCATAAGGCAGGTGCCTCTGGTTTAGTGATACTTTGGTACCATCGATACTTAAACTACTTGCAGATGAAGGAGGCGAAATTGTTTTGGTTCGAATGGGAGAAAATCATCTAACGGTACATTTTCGTGAAAGTATATCAGCTCTTAAAGTATCTAAATCATCATCGATTATGTTATTAGATCCTAATCTTTGGATTGAACTTAAAACAACCAATTGGATGGACACTTATCGCAAAGAAATGAGTCTCGGCTTAAACAATGTAGTATCTTTATGTGAATCATCACCTTCCTCACCTGATAACGAGGATTTCTCATCAATAGTTTCAGCGTCAATGCTCACGACGAACACACTTTGCATTGAAGATGATTTATATACTGTTGCTACTCCGTGTCAAACAAGTCCAACCGGTGATGATTCTGATGATAAACCTCCTCCGATCCCTGGAAGATCAACTCCAACTCACCCACCGTCGCGACCTCCCCCTCCTGCAATCGCCAAAGGTCTTGGAGGGTCAAATAGCAGTAGCACCAGTAGTTTAACAGGACCACCACCAAAACCGCCTCCACCCTCAGCATCTTCGTCTTCATCTTCAGGTCAAAATTCCAAGACTAAACCTATCCCAGTTCGACCTGCACCACCACCTCCAGGTGCTTTTCAACAATTAACATCGACTGAAATATCTAATCGATTAATTGGAAATCAATCCTTCCCAACAGCAAACTCAGACGGCGGAGACACAGTTTTCAATATGCCACCACCTGATATGCCCGCTCCCGCTCCACCGCCAATGTCTAATGATTTTAATAATTCACGAAGTTTTGGATTCTCTGATGATGATCTAGACGTTGACTATGACCGAAATGAACCTTCATTACCACCTCCTTTACCACCCCCACGAGTGGACTCATTTGAAACAGATGATATCCTGGATGAACCTGTGTCACCCTGGCAAACACTCCCACCGGCTCCTCCATTGCCTCCCATTGAATCGGTTCTCGATACACCACCACTCATACCAGAAAGACCTAAAAACCTTCCCAACTTGGAATCGATGAACGATCCTTGTCCGATAAGTAAACCACCACCAATCCCAGCCCGGACTAAGGCACCAACAACCTCCGCCGGTCCACCGAAACACCCACCGCCTACCATTCCACCAAGAAGAGCACAGTAACATTCAAACGACGAAAAAACACTCTTATCAAAATCCAATGATACAAATATCACTCTCTCATTCCGTTTCTTTTATGTTTAATGCTCTGTGCATCTTTTAGGCTAGTCATTTGCCCTTCTCTCTCGTCGCAATCAACAACAATCAAGTATCACGATCAATTAAACAGTTTTTGATTTAGATGTTGGGATAATGATGATGAAAGACGATAAATGTTGAATTAATATAATTTGTTTGAACGATAACAAAAAAATTTGTTAAATATAAATTAAACTTTAGTCTCTACCATCATCAATCAAATTTATTAGCTGAAATCAATGTAAATTTAATTTGGTCACTTTAATTGTTAAACACAGTAAAAAATCAAATCAAATTGCAAATCAAAAACTGTAACGAAAACAACGACCAAAATTAATCAAATGTAACATCAATGAGAAAAAAATTCAACTAATCAACTAATCAAAATCTAATAGAATGTGATTAAATTTTTTTTGCAAAATGAAAATTTGTCCACAATTATTCACAATTAAAGTTAATTAACGAACGGAAGTTTTGAACAGTTACGATCGTCGAGCCTTCAGGCCAAAAACTGATCGCACTCGATTGAAGGAGCGATTCCAATTGAAATCTTGGTCATTTCTTTGAACTCAAGGTGAGCTAATGTTAAATGAGCTGATTTAATTAAACAACAAAGGTAACTAATCAATTTGCCAATTCGAGGATAATTAAGTTTGATTAGCACAATTACCAATTTGATATTGACCACGATCTGATTGTCAAGCCATTTAGTTACCGTTATAATGATTGATTCCAAGTAAAATTGAATGTCGATTGTAAAATTTTGTTCAATTCACTGATTTGATTGTTTTCTGGCTGTTAAAATTTATTGATTTTTCTTAAATGTTGATTATTTGATGTAATTAATTTTAAATCAAAAGTTTCAATAGAAACTTTTTTGCTTTAAATGTTCATTAAACAAAAATCAGATTAGATTAATTTTTAATTATTTATTTTGGTGATCCGTTATTTTGATTGTTCAAATTTGATCTTGAAACAATTTAACCTCTTCGATTATTGTTTTCATATTATTCAAACTAATCAGATTAATGTTGATTGTTTTTCCTTGTTAAATTAAGATCATAACAATTAGTGACCAAAAGACCAATTGACCGAAATTGTAAAAACCATTTCGATGTTGGAAAGAGAATCAAAATTTGATTCTGTTTTGATTTCGATACAATTTGGATAATTTAAATTTTCCAAATTTTAAAATTCGAAAATGAAAATAATCAATTATCGTAAACAAAACAATAAAAATGACCACAAATTAAACAACTTCAACTTGAATCTCATTCACAAACTTACAGAAAAAAATTTACTTTTTTATCCCTTTAGGGTAAACCAATTGGTAGATTAGTTTCATTCATCGTTTAGATTAGTGAATTAACTGTAGAAGAAGATTAAATGTCGAGTTGATGTCAATTTATTAATGACAATTAATCAAAGAGATTGAAGGAGCAAGTGACTATACTGACGTACAAGAGAATAAGAGATAAAACGATCGATCAGATGAAAGTTCAAAAGTCAAAGTCTTTTAATGTTCTCATCTTCCTCTCATCTTTAACCATCTCCATAAGTGTTTATCTAAATGTAAATATAACATTTTCTAAAATAAGAAACCCAATTTGTCTCCAATCGTTAATCCGAATGCTTTTTAATCGTGTAAACAGTTAACTCTCATCGAGTGTCTTCCATTGCTAATCCATTTCGAAAGGTCATCATAAAAAAGGTAACAAAGGTTAACAAGAGTAGAACATTTGACGAGCAACAATTTATAATAGAAGAAGAAGAAAACAAAAGAAGAGTTAATCAAATTGCTCAACGATTGGAAAAGGTTAAAGGTAAACATTTCCAATGGAAAAGTTGACAAGTTACAGTTGAGAATTGATAGATGGCGTAAGGTTATCTTACTTTCTCTTTCTTTTGGTCTTTCTTTTTACGACCTTGTCTCTTGGTTTGGAATTGATTGTGCGTAGTTCATATAATTACCTTAGAATCAAACTGATTCCAGTTGATTGTTATAGTTGATGTAAAGTATTTTTGTTGATTAAATTAATTAAATGAAGTCTTTACTCTGTAAATTGTTTTGTTATGTGAAAAAGGAACATGATTATCACCTTAAAATCTTCTAATTACTTGAGATCTTTTCCCAATCAACAGAAACGTTTCTTCTCTAATTGTGATCATATTTACTATGGAACAACGAGTCTAACCCGTGAATATTTGTATATAAAAAACCAAAGGTAAAACTGATCAATTCATTTTCACTGTTTTCTTTTTTTCTTTTCTCTTACTTTTTTATTTTCCACTTTCCTCTTTCCTCTATCTTCTTTCCTTTCTTTCTTTCTCTCTTTCTTTCATTAATTCCTCTATCTCTCTCCTCTCATCACTCTCCCTACTACTATTATTATTATACTCAGTGTTCTTTTGATGACCTTTAAAAACCTCTTGAGTTTTTCCCTTTTACTATCTCTCTCTTTCTTTTTTCTTTCCCTTTCTATTTTTTCTCTCTCTCTCTCTCTGATATGGAAGATTTTCTGTTCTGTGTGTGGTGTGTATCTCTTTTTTCTCTACTCAGTGAGAGAAGTAAAATTCTGTTAGATTGTATAGTGTTGTTGCATTGTGTTCCTCCCTTTAGCTTCTAAATACAATCGTTTGTGGTGTCTCTTTGTGTTCTTTTTATTTCTTGTTCTCTCATTTTCTCTTTTTCCTCTTTCTCCAATATTTCAGGTTTCTTGTTTTCCTAGTAACATATTTTAATCTTTAGTAATAGAAAGAGGGAAAACGATAGAATGAGTGAGAGAGAGAGCAAGAGAGGAAAGAAGAGAAAAAAATAATTTTCCATTAAAATCAAATGAGATAATCACACACAAAATGAACCAGATTTTATTATCGGTAAACACATGTTCTATTTCATTTGGCATTTCAATCTGTAATCCAATGGTTACTCAATCAATTCCAATGTTCTCCCTAATCAATGGTTATGCTTTTTGATCTTTATTCTTTCCTCTCTCTCTCTCTCACACACTATATTTTCTATTCTTATTCTTTTCGTGTTAAGGTTTTGTTTTTGTTTTTGTTTAGAAGAGAAAAAAATTGTTCTCAGAAAAATTAGCAACAATGCAACACTATACTGTTAACTCAGCAGGTTATACTTAACCAAACTGGTAAATCCGCTCACTCGAAGGTCACATTATTCAACCAAATATCCCTTAAACCTTTCTTTTTTTCCTTCTCGTTAATGGCCAAGAAAGTGAACTTGGCCTTATTCTTATAAATTTTATTTTGATCTTTCCTTTCTCTTCATTTTCCTCTCTCTTACTTTCTCTCTCTCTCTTCCTTTTTATTCTATTTTCCCTCCTCCCTCCTCCTCATCCCTCCACCTCCTCCTCTTTCCTTCTTTATTATTGCTTAAGAATCTTAAACTTGAACTTGATCTAACCTTGTTTTATACACTTTCCATTTCATTCTCTCTCTTTTTCTCTTTTTCTTTTTCTTTCTCTTTCATGAACCATCAACTTTCCTCTTTTAAATTCAACTTTCATTTTCTTCCTCTCATCTTTAGGATAAAAGTCAAGCCCAAAGTTGTTGACAAGAAAAATTTATATTCATGTTTATATATTTGACTATTCTCTTTATGGTGAAGAGGATAAATTTATTAAATCAGCGCTCTTAATTCGCGCTATTACTCGTACGCACCAAGTGTGAGTGTAAAAGTGCAAAAGGAAAAAAAGTGACATCAACACACACAATTAACACACGATTTTATGAGAATTTCATTTCATCTCATCTCTCTGATTCTTCTCTTTGTTTTTATTTGAATTATTATTTTGTTTTTAAATGTTTTGTTTCATCGTTTTTGGAAATTATTCTTCTTATCATCATCATCTCTATTAAATTTAAAAGGATCTATCATATATATATATATATATTCTAAGTGTCAATATTCTAAAAACAAATTATGGTTAAACCCGATATTTTAACTCCGATCAAGTGTGAACCTCCAAGCCCATGTAGTGGTGGTGAGGGCAATAGTGTCAGTGGTGACCTGGAAACTGAATATATCAGTGTACCAACATCTCCCAGTGCAGTTGTAGCTATGTCATCTTTTGATTACGACAATTCCCCTGAAAACTCTGGCTCTGAATGGGCTGAACGATCACCAGACGAGGATAGACTTCGCATGGAATCACCTCCATTAGGTTCATCAACCCCCGGTGGCCTTAATTATGCTGGTGTTTCACCAAGTCACGGGTCAAATTATCCTATGGATAAAAAATCACTCGAAATGTGTGTAGTTTGTGGTGACAAAGCCTCAGGTCGTCATTATGGTGCAATATCTTGTGAGGGATGTAAAGGATTTTTTAAACGAAGTGTTCGTAAACAGTTAAGTTATGTTTGTCGAGCAAACCAGGACTGTGAGGTGACCAAACACCATCGTAATCGATGTCAGTATTGTCGACTTCAAAAATGTTTACATATGGGAATGCGAGCGGACCATTGTCAACCAGAACGGAAACCACTTGCTTTAGAGTACAATAATAATAATAATAATAACAATAATAACCTTCATAATTCTGGAAATGTTATTAGTAATCTTAACTCATTAGTGCCTAATATACGGCCTTTAAGTGCTGCTGCCGCAGCAGCAGTTGCCGCTGCGACTGGATCTCTGTCAACGGTGGCCTCGTCATCTTCACCATCCAATAATTCAATGGTAATCAATCACCATCGAGCCATCTTTCCTAAACCAACTTCCAATCAACCCGAACTGGCAAGCCTATTAGAAAGTAACCATCCGACCAGTGGAGGGGGCAATGGAGGAGATGGTAATTCCTCTGGTGGTAATGGATCAGCTGTTGCAACGTCAACCAGTAATGGCGATTTAAGCACCTTAGCGAATGTTTTATCTAATTTGGTCGCCTTCAGAGCTAATCATAACGACAGTAATGCTAATTCTGTAGAAACAAGTATGAGACCTTTACTTAAAGCAGCAAGTAATGTAATCGGTAATGGATCCATGAGTGGAGGCAATGGTAACAATGGTGCTGCTGGAGGAAGTGGCAATACAAGCGGAAGCGGTTCAGGAAATGAGTCAAGTGAAGAGAAACAAGCTCGAGCCAATAGTCTAATGATTTCCAAGGCAGCTTTTGATTTAATGGCTAAAATAGCATGTGGAACGGGATTAAGTTCCGAAGGAGCTGCTCTACTTTTTGGTGCAATGGATTTCGCTTCTGGAGGTCCTAATTCAAGTGAAAGTGAAGACTTATTTGAATTAGAGGGAACCCTTCTTAATGAGGCTCATTATCAATTTAATTTAACTCCGCCCAGCACTGGAACTTCAACATTTTTGTCACTTCAGTATATCTGTGAAAGTGCTTCTCGTTTACTATTTCTATCCGTTCATTGGGCTCAATCAGTCCAAGCCTTCCAATTACTCTCCATTGACGTTCAAACCTCTCTGATTCGAGGTTGCTGGTGTCAACTTTTCGTCCTTGGTCTTGCCCAATGTTCCCAAGTAATGTCTTTGACAACCATTTTGTCAGCCATTGTAACCCATTTACAGACAACACTACAACAAGATAAACTCTCGGTTCAAAGAGTTAAGCAGGTTACCGATCATATATGTAAACTTCAAGATTTCGTCAACTCCATCCAAAGATTAGAGATTGACGATCGTGAATATGCATATCTAAAAGCAATTGTTCTGTTTAGTCCCGAAAATTTGGCCATCAGTCAATTATTATGTTGCCGTCAAATAGAAAAGTTTCAAGAAAAAGCCGTTAATGAACTTCGTAACTATGTCACCGAGACCGTTCTAGGTGACGATGCCTTAAGCCGTTTCGGTAAACTTTTACTCCGTCTAATGCCACTACGAAGCCTTCTTCCTAGTATAACTGAGGAGCTATTTTTTTCTGGTCTTGTTGGAAATGTTCAGATTGAAAGTATCATTCCTTATATATTAAAAATGGATTCCAGTGAATTTACCAATTAAGGTAAATCTTCATTTGGCTCTCTTATCATAATCTAATCAACTAAATCCTTCACTTTCACGTTTTTGTTTTCAAAACTTGTCTATCAAACTACTATATAAATCATAATCATCATCTTAATCATCTTGAACATCATTTAACGACGACAACAAAATAAACGTTAAATATTACCAAATCAAAACAATCAATTAACAAAAGTTTGTTTTTATTTCTCACATTTATTTCAATTTAATCATCTTTGATTACAGCTCGAAAAACAGAAATGATTAACATTGAGACAGTTTGAAAAGTTTAAATTTAAATTGTTGTTAAAACGATGAGATAATAAAAAAAAAAGGTAAGACGATTTAATTACAATCAAAAACCTTGTTTAAAGTGAAAGTTAAATTGTTACCATTTACAAATTGTGGGTTAAAAGTAACAGTAACAACAACTAATTGTTAATAAATGATTTCCAACAATTAAACAACAAATTGTGTGAGTGTGTGTCCTTACACAACAACAATTTGATAAGTCGATCAATGGAACAAGGTTTTTCACGTTAATTGTGATTACAATAATGACTCAATGTCTTGATTGTTTGTAAATTGTTCATTGATGATGTTGAAAGTTGTCAGAGGAAAAAAATTGAAGAGGAAGAAGAAAAAATTTCAACTTCGCCTACATGGGATTTTACCTTGATAAAGATTTAGTTGCTTAGGACTAAGTACATGTTGATGATGTTGTTGTTCATGATGATGTTCATGATGATGATGATGATGAAGACTGAATTGAACCCAACCCTGTGTGAAGGTTATCATGAACTTATCTCAAGGTCTTTTCATTTTTATCTCAACAACAAAATTCAAGGCATATAATTGATGGAGAAGAAAAAAAAAGTTCTGTTTTCAAAAGAGACTTTGTTCATTTCTCTTTGTTATCGTTATAAGGTCACAATCAACTATTATTATCATGATAATTATATTATAACCAGTTTTGTCTTCTTACATGATGATGATAACAATTCAAGTTCATTTTAACTGTTTCTCATCAGATTAACTTTCATCATCATGATGAGTTAAATTATGCCAACAATTTCAATCGTTTTCAAACTTTCACTTTCAACGGACCTTCAGCAATCAGGTCATCGAATTGATTGTTAACTAATTGTTAATCCAAATCAAACCGATTGATAATACGATTTATTGTATAAATTTTTAAAATAAGTTTTATGTTTATTGGGTGGACATTGAGAGAGAGAGAGAGAGAGAGAGAGAGAGAGAGAGAGAGATGAACAATTAATTTGTTTTCATCATTTCAATGTCAACATTTGATTTGCTAATTATTAATTTATGTTGATTAGTTTTAGGAATCAATTGGTTAAATTAGTACCGTAATTAGCACGCGGTTAATTATTAGCTTTTTCATCATGTTCAACGGCTAATTTACAATTCTTATCAACTCTATCATATAATTAATTCTAAAAAGTATTATTATTACAATAAACTGTCCAGAATTTAACCAGAGGTTGAGCAAATATCCATCAGCTGATCTCAAACTATTATTTCTCCTCGTTGTATGATGACAGATTCACGGATGATAAAATGATCAATCATAAAGGTTTGTCAAAGATACCCAACTTCAATAAATGTATTACTATCACAATACAATTAATAAGCTTAAAATAGGTTAAGTAAATCAAAAAATTTGATTTCGATGATAATATTTTCCATTCATCAAATTGCTTTGTAAAAGCTCAATTCGATTCCTTTGTATTCTTGGTGTAGACTTGAGAGCGAACGGTTTTCTGTTTTCTTTGACGTACATTTTTGAACTGATTCTTTTGATTTCGTTTATTCTCTTTCGTTTCCTCATCAATCTAACGCAAATTTTTCTCGTGTGAACGAACAGAAAGTTGACGACACTCAACAAGGAAACTTCGAGCCAGAGACTGATGACACTTGCAACATAGCAAAAGTATTCGATGAAGTTCAATTTTTCTCTAGTCGTTACATTAGATTGAAACCCCAATGGGTAAGCGAAAAGGATTAGAGTTTGATTGCGGGGCAAAGATTCCCAATTCATGGCTCGAAGTTTCTGAATCTGAAATAGTTGAGTGTGACATTCGGGATTGCTGAACTTCTCTTCACACTCTGAGCGATGTTTGTTCAACTGTATTCCTTGTTTAAAAGTCGAATTGATCACCTCTTTGGAAACTCTGATAAAAGTACGATCATGGAAAGCATAGTTTTCTTCGTAAACTGATCTGGACATACACTTTTTGATAAGATCATGTCGCGATTTACCAGTCAAAGCTGAATAGGTCATACACTCTGAATAAGGTGGACCAAGACCATGGCTTTGTGTCATTAAGTAGCTCAAAATATACAAGTTGTTTGCTTTCCAATTTAAGGTCATTTGCCAAGGGCTCCCGTTGGAGTAAGTCAATTCTTCTTGGGTTTCATGAATATGGATCTCGACCGTATCATCGAATGTAATATCAGAATTGATTGCAATCTTCAGAATGAAATCATCATAGAACTCATTACGATTATATAAAAACGAAGGACTCAGGCCACCAAAAAAAGTAAAACACTTTTCGTAGGCATTTATATTCACTTCGAGTGGTCTGGCATCTGAACAAGCATTGTAGGTACGCGATTCGTCAAGTGATGAAGGTAAAGCGACTTTGCAATACTTGATAAGGTCCATGAATCCAGGTGTAATTGAGTCTATCTCGCCAACAGTTAGCTGAAATCTTAGATCATGTTCTGTGAGGCTCGAGTTGAAGGGTTGAATTCTCAATTTACTTGCATTTCGGGGATCCAGTTTATAATAATAACAAACAGATAACGAGGGAAGAGTGACCATTGAGGGTCGATAAAGTTCGATTATCGTTGATGCAGGAAACTCAAAGTACATGGTCACCAAAGTTGTCACTTGAATCGAAGCTCCAATTGTACATATAATCAAGGGAAATATTTTATCAAATGTGAACTTGAGTGATCTTTGAATTGCATCAGAAAGTTTTTCACTCTGTAATATATTCATCATTGTTAATCAATCTCTCCAACACTAATCATCTCGGCTGATGGACAAAAGTGATACCAATGATCTTTACAAAGTATTGATTTCCAATATGCTCCCACTAAAAAACTCAAGTCAATTTATTTAATTATTTCATTTCAAGACGATTGTTGGACAAACACCAATCAGATCGACGATTTTTATTGGATCTCTAAAAATAGACCATTTGAGAGGTGCAATTGTTTCACTACACTAATTAATATTTAGCTAATTGTTTCCACAGTTTAAAATCATCAATAAGCTTATTGCACGAAAAAAAGTGATTGACTTTGCAAATAATTGAAATAAAAACATTTAGTATTTAAATGGTTGAAAATGGTCATTTCAAAGATTGGAAACCATAATGGTCGATATTTCTAAAGCCGATTCTCGAAGCTTCTCAATAATTTTGGTCATAAAGATCATCGTCACTGGAAGTATTTCCATCGAAATGAGAAAACCTTTTTGACGATGCTCAGGATGTTCCTCGACTTCAACTCTGTTTCTCTTGGCAAAAGTACGTGTTCACATGTTTGCTCAGTAAAATATGTTTTCCGTTTTCAGTAAAATGGTCAATCGGTGAAAACTTGAAATAAAATCGAATCAATTTTTCGATTGGATAAGTAATTACTGTCCATCAATGAATTCTTTCACTTTTTCACTTGTTTAATCAAATCAACGAAAACATCTCCATGTCCAATGAAAAAAAGATCAATGTGATTGATACTGAGGTTAACCAAAAATCATAATTAGTTCAAGTTGCTAATATGATTTACCAATTGACTTTCAATTCAGTGAATTGATCTGATCGGTTCTCGAACACATTTTACAGCACTCATTTCATCACCATTCCAGCGACAGCACTTTTTCTTACCGATCCTATGACAATGGAAACACCGCTCGGCATACCTTGGACATAAGGATGGACAATTATATTTACATTTGCATCTCCCGAGCAAGAATAACTAACAATTTTCCTAAGATATTAATGAATCGAAATGCAAATTATTTGTACTTTACATTGAATGATTGAGTTATTGAATAAATCAACACAATTAGAGTTTATTTTTTTCTGCTGCTCATCCGAAATTCAAATAATCGATAAACATGATTCGTTAATTGTAATTAACATGCTTTTTAATCGTTTGATTTAATGTTTCTATTAACAATCAGCATAAAACAATTTAACATTTTCTATGATTTTGTTTTTCATTAATCATTGTGATGAAACACAATTTACACTTAACCATGGTTAATATTCAACAATTACCGTTACTTGATCAACCTTTCGCTAAATAATAATAATAATATGATTGTTCATTATTATTTATTGATTAATTGGGATCACTTGATTGTCCCGTTATTTAACAATGTAATCACTTTTAACTGTGCGAAAAGTATGGTGTAACTGTGACAATTAAGCGTTAAACCAATAATTTACGAAAATTAATCATAAACTGATAATTGATCATCATCTTGACAAACTAAAAAAATCTTAATCTATTGAATTAAGTTCTGATATAAAACTAGTGAAATCAAAGTAAAGAGTGACAGAAAGAAATAAATAAAATAGCAAAAGAATAATCAAAAATTGATTGATCATGATGATTAATCAACAACAACACCCGATAACTTTCACCTATCACAAGTTAATGGTCACAATTGTGTTCATGGTGATACAATCAGTTCGCCCTCAAACAGTTCGCCCTTCATGTGGATCCCAAGAAGCTTATTATGCTAATCCAGAAGACTGTAGATCTTACTATTATTGTTGGAACAACGAAAATTACCTTCAGTACTGTCCTAACGGTCTTTACTTTCACCTTGCTGGACGTACCTGTGAACCCGCGGGTGTGGCCGATTGCGGTGGATACACTGGTGGCAACGGAGTTGTGACAACCAATAGGCCACCGGGACTATTTGGTTCCTCTTTGTGCACCAAAATTTGTTCCGAAACTGAATTAGCCAAAAAATCGCCGGTCAAGGGTGTTTTATATGCGATCTGTAAATGCACCGAATCGATGACAATCAGCTCGACAATTATGCCTCCTTCTTACGCTGCATCGGCACCATTAACAACGCCTTCACCGCCCAATGTATTCAGTATCATTTCTAATTTCATCAATTCCATTTTTCCTGGTGTTCGTTAATTCAGTTGATCGTTTTATCCGCTAAATCAAAGTTTCATTTGAATTGAGATTTTTTCTTCCCCTCCTGTAAACTTATCGTTCACTTTAATTGTCTAACCTTCATCAGCGGACTTTAATTGTTTGGTGAACAATCAATAATATATACAAATGAATTGATTAAAATTACAAAAATTTGTTACAATTAATTGTTTTTTTTTCATTGTTTAATTAATACTTTTTCATTTGACAAACATTATCGATACCATAACAGTAAAACCTAAGGTGACGAGTAAGATAACAAAAAATATAATAACTGATTTAATCTGGTAACAGTTAATCAACAACAATTAACCTTGATTGCAGTTTGAAGGTTTATGATCAAAGGTAACTTAATATTGAAAAGCACAATTGTCATTTATTAATTGTTGAACTTAATCACAAACTAAACTCATCAAATGATCATAAAAATTGAACCAATTTTTTTGTTTGTCTGTATAAACAGATGATGGAAAACAATCAATTAATTGTCTAATAGTCAACCCAGTTGATTGTAATTTCAGTGCCGTTAATTGTTTGATGATCAACATTGAGAAATAAAAAATGATTTCCAATTAAGCGAAACGTTTTCCTTGGCAATCTAATTTGTTTTATCGTTCATTACACAATCAACATGTTTGACCTGATCATTAGAATCAACATTATTAATCAACGATAATATTGAATAAATTGTTAATGATTAACATCATCAATTGAATATAATCCAACCCCTTCGTCCCCTCTTTCTCGTGATTCCATGATAATAAACTTAATCATGATCACGAGAAAACTTTCTGAGCTTGTTAACCTTGGAACTATTTGGATACTTGATTGTTTACGATTCTCGTTCAGCATTTGAAACTTTCTAACATTCAGTTAATTATTACAGTTAACGACAATTAGCAGCAGTTGGAACGATCGGTTGTGGACTTTTAAATTACAATTAGAAGATGTAAATGAAAAGAGCGGCAAAAATTGTCGCGATTTAAATTGTGAAGAAAACAAATTTGAGAAGAAATTTTTTCTTCTCCAATTCGAAAAGTTTTTATTAACTTTTGATTGCAATCAATTTTGATTGTGATTATTTAAAGTTCATGATTATCTTATGTTTGGGTTGGAAATTGATGTTTAGTTAAGAAAAACGGAAGAAATTAATTAACTTGCATTTTTTTCCTTCTCCTTCAACTAATCAAATTAAATTTAACAATTTGGATTCCAGCCAATTCAAGTTATAAATAATCATTGACGATCTTTAATTGCTCAACATTTTCTTCATTTATCTTTATCATTTGCATAATATTTTTACAATTAATAATTTCAGCTTTAATTGTTTTGTCTAGGATCAAGTTAATTGCTGACTGAGAATTCACAACTAATCAATGAAATTATTGATCAGTGAAATCGTTTGTATCATTTGCCAACGATAAACCGGATATTTGAATCGTGAGACTATTTCTTGCAAATCTAATCAATCTAATTAACAATTAGTTAATTCATCGTTAAGTTTTGTTTTTGCTTTACCAACATTTGAGTGTAGCAATTTACTTCAAAGTCAAAGGTTAATTATTGGTAATTACGGATATTATTTTAACAGATAATGATGTTGATGATTGTGATTGTGATTACTTTGATGATAACGATTGTAATTGTTTATCCATTGTAACAATTAGAAAACTTTTTAACGCTTTTAATAAATAGCATTGGAAACAATTAAGACATAGATTTAAAATTGAAGAATCGGGTTAATTGTATGATTAATAAGCCTTTCGGGTAACATTTGATTGTGAATTTGTGGTTCAATGTAATTAATTGGTTCAATCTCTTTGATTATTGGTTATCAATTGGTAATTTACAAGTTCAAATGTTTTATGTGCTTGTTGATCATCGGTTTTGTTTCATTAATTGTGTACATTTTTTCCTCCTCTTGAGAGTTGATTGTTGACTTTGATTGTAGATTGGAGATGAATCAAGTTTCACATTACATTTGAACTCGGGGTCACTTTGAAAGTAATCACTTGGTTATCAATTCATTGATTACTTTTTTCTTCATCTCTTCCTTTTATTATGTCCTCGTCTAAAAAATGATTTACTCTTGACATGATTAGAATCAGGGTCCTCATCCTTAATTGTTGCTCTCTCCTCTCCTCCTCCTCTTCAACATTATCATGATCTTCACCATGATCAGGAACTTTTCTGCTCAGAATTGACTTTAATTTATGTGTCTCCTTGTACTTTCATGAAATCTTTTAATTGTAATTCTCATGGAATATTTTTCGTCTCAATTGCAATCACAGGCAAAAGGGTGACTTCTTTGTTGCCTTGTTCCTTTTTCGATTGGAATCAAGTTCTCCTTGGAAACTCTTTGTCACATGCAACTTATTTGTCACATTTTACTCCTAAGGGAAAATAAAAGAAAAAGATTTTCTAATTAAATGATTACCAATAGTTAACTGGTGGCGAGAGTAACTGTGTAAATATCAATCTGATGGCTTCATAAATTCATAAACTTCATGAACTTTTGTCATTTTAAATGTTACATTTTCTTGGTTCACCTTAGGTTTGTATTCATTTCGTTCCTTGGTAAGGATCCTGAGACGTTACTATTCTTGGCTCTTTAAGACTAAGAGTTTGATAATCAGACGTCAGATTTTATGATTGGTTAGCTAAATGTTGATCCAAATCATTTAAATACGAATATTCCCTTGATTTTGAGAGATTTATCGATTTATCCATCGTGTATATTTATCCATCCAGACCAAGTGGAACTGTTGACAAAAAAGAAAACCCATGAAAAAATGACGTTAAATTCAATCGAAGCAAAAAACCAGAAGACTTACTTGAATGTCAACCATAAGATAAAATGAATGTTACTTGTCGATTATAACTGATTTTTGAACGTTTAATTTTCACCAACGATAATTTGGAGAAACTAAATTTCCATAAAGTAATTCAATCCAATTCAAAGTGAATCTAAATTTAGTCCATTTTATGAGTTCATGGGTTTTAAATGTTATTCATTTTTTATATTCCAATTTCCTGTTTGGTGTTCAAAACGAGCCCAACGATAATCAACAATCCAAATACAATTAATTCAACAACAGCAAAACTTTCCAATTGATAAAAACTCAATTTTCCGAAATGATTTTATTAGTCCACTTTGGATTACAGTTACATGAGTCGTTGCTCATGCACTAGAGAAATATAAAAATATTCTCTTCAAAAGGATACAAAAAAAATAAAAAACAATTAACGAGATTTCTCGATATTTCAGTAAGCATGGTCATTTGTTTCTCGTTATTTTGATAAATCAACATTTCAGTAAGCATGGGTCAAGTAGACCCATGCTTTAGGTCCACTCTTATGAACAACTAATCCGTGGATAAGCAATAAAGATCCTTTCGGCACAGTAACAGGTCGAAATGAAGACTCGTCATACTCCGTTTCAGGGAAATCGAATGAAACTTTGATCCCCGAATCGTCTTCACTTCTTACGAATCTACGAGTGACATTTTCTTTGTGAGACTTTGGAATGAACCATAAACACCCGTTTTCGAGAGTAACATCTTCTAATGCGAACCATAATCCAGTCAATTTAATCTCTGGTTCAGTGAATAGAAACTCGGCATCTTTGTGAGCTGTAACTTCACTTCCAACTTTCGGGTTCTTAAATATTATCATGCTCTGGACAATCGCTGGTTCCACGAATTCAAGACTTTTTAAGAGATTTTTGATTCGATCATTGAATGTTACCTGTTTAAAGATTGGATTGAAATGATGAAGAGCATGACCAATTTTGTTCAAACATTGACCACGAGGAACAATTAGATTGCCATCAGAATCAAGGGCCTTCTCTTCAAAGAAAAAAGAAATTCTATCTCCTGAATTGAGAAAATAGTCATTTCCTTGTTGCCCTTTTCCCGTTTTGAATACAGTTCGATTTTCATTGAGATCAAAAGTTTCCACGATATTTTTGGTCTCTTTCAAAATGGAATCGACATGATTTGAATCGTGAAAATTAGGGAAAACAGCATATCCATTGGTCCAATAATCTTTAATCAAATTCTCATAAGAGTCCATTGTATTACAAACAATTCACAGAGAAAAACAATTGACGTGGATAACTAAATTATTGTCAAGGAAAAGATGAGAAATTAATTTGTACCGTTATGTTTGGACTGAAAGCAAATTACAACTATTTAGAAAAGAAAAATTTTGGCATTTGTATCACAGTCAAATTGTTTGGTTGGTTTTCCCTGAAGAAGTTGAAATTGAAACAGGGGAGAGAGAGCGAGAAAAAAAAATCATAATGATGATGAAAAAATCAACAGAGGTTTTTAACCATCATTAAATGTTGATGCCTTGTTGTTGCTGTTGAAGATGTGAATTGGTAAATGATGAAATTACTCGGTTATTTGAACCGAGAACAGCTAAAACTGGTGCTCCATTGTTAATACCAAGAGAGTGATTGTTAATGTCATTGTTTCCGTTAAAGGTTCCAAGGTTGGTACTATTATTGGATCCATTGGTTAGATCACCTTCATGGGCTAAATTTGAACTAGATTTACTGCAAATTATTGTACGACGACCACTGTTATCACTGACAATAGCGGGTAATGTGTTTCCAATTAAACCATTTGAACATGTTACTGGTGTTCCTTGTGTGGTTGTAGATGGATTGGTTGTTGTCGTTAGGCCTGATGATGTTGGAGCTCCTGTTGAAACGGCAAATTGTCCATTTCTTAGGTGAAGTGACTCTAAATTATGATAACCAAGATAGTGATTGGGTAATGTTTGCTGGAAATGGTGAAGTTGATGAAGATGATGACCATGATCTCCACCAGCAGCAGCCGCAGCGGCTGCCGCTGCTGCCATGGAATGCAACCTGTAATTACCTAAAGCGGCTGAGGCAACGGTTGAACCAGGAGGTAGGATTACCTTGGCAACGTAAGGTTCATCATCAATACATTCATATACATGTTCAATCATGTGATGACAAGAGTATGGATTACATGATTGTTTAGGATTATATAAATGATAAAAATGATTAGGTGTTGGTCCATGTGTAGCCATATTAGGACCGTTACCGGCAGCAGCGGCTGCAGCAGCTGCGGCAACTGCAGCCGGTGTTAACCTACGACAACCATAATCAGATCCACTTTCGGTGGTGGCAGCGTCACTGGCAAGATAATGACGCGATGATGAAAACTCTCGGGATAATCCACCCATACTAGATGAATTACCAATCATGGGCTGTGATAATTGAGCTGGATTTCCAGTAAGATTTTGAATAGATGGATTCTTATTATAACCTCCGAAAACGAATCCCCTAGAAAGTTAAGGCCACTATTAAGAGGAAGGTGATGTACAACATTTGGATGGTGAGAATGATGATGCCCATGATGTACGGGATGAGGATTATCCAGATAGCTTTTGGAATCACCTTTTAAACAAAAAATGTGTCTTGCTGCATAAGAGCATATTAGAGAATAACGGGAACGAATATTCTCTTTGGTTAAACAATAGTAAGAGAACACAAATAATCCAAGGGAAACATTGGTAAGGGCAAATAAGAATCCAATGGTTGATACCCTGTAAGTTAAATAAACAACGCCTAGAGTACAATTAATGGCAGCCAACAGGTTAAGTGAGAAACGACAAAATAATGAAATTTTTAGCTTCCGATTTAACATTAAATCTAATGCAAATTTATCTGCACTGGTCATTAATCCGGATGGATAAACAAAACCTCCAACAGAACCTGGAGATACTGGTGAAGATGATGATTGACCAGTTGATGAAGAAGATGTATGTAAACCAATTCTTGAATAGGTAACTAAAAGAAGTACTAATCCAAGGCCAGTTAATATGATAGACGAGGCAATGACAAATGAAGCAAGATGAGAACGAGCCTCAAGTGAGCAAAGATTGGCAAACATTGGTAAGGCTTGTGTTGATGTTGACCAAGAGATGAGTAAAATAACTATTAATGGTATCAAATATGATGTTAGGTAAAGATAGCGTCTCAATTTAACTGGATTTATGCCACCGGTAAGTATTGAAGCTGTTGTTGCTGTTGTTGGTGTGGTGGTGGTGGCAGTTGATGAGATATTCACAGAGGCAGAAACGGTTCCTGATGGACCAAGGACAAGAGATGGATCAATAAATTGTTTCCTTGATAGGCGTACATGAAGCTCAAGATCAAGATCAAAAAGAATCCAAACAAAATGAACAAGAAGAAAATAATGATATAAGGCAACAAGAAAACCTAATGAACGAAGGGTTGAAGTGTTGGTTGTTAATGAATTAGATGATGATGATGATGATGATGATGATGAAATTGATGTTGTATTGAAATAGTTTGGTGAAAGGTAAGTACCCAGAATTAATAATAACACAAGATGATCGAGTAATAAATTGATTGTAACATTTTTACGAATCAATGCTGATTCCTTGGTTTGCAGTGAACGAATAAGGACAAGGGTAACCAAGGCAATTAATAGAATAATTGAGTTTAGAGTTGATCCAAGAATTAAAAGAATACGAATTGTTCCTTCATTTTCTAAATTACTGTAATAAAGTTGACCGGAAGATGATCCACTTGGTGGTGGTATGTATAAATTTTCCTCATAAATTCTAGATGAATTTTCATCATATTTAGAGTCAATATCTAAAATTGAACGGGTTGATAGATCAAAATCAATTGGGGGCTGTGGTTGTGATGGTGGTGGGGAGGGTGAAAATTCTGAGATGAGTTCAATTTTGGGTGATAATGGAGGTGAAGGTGAAATCTGTGGACTACTAGTTCGGTATGGATTAATTGTTGGTATTATGATGGGCGGTGGACTTTGGTTCTTTGGCTTATTGTTAGAGCTCTGTTCACTTAGAGAGAAGGGTGAAGATTGGGAGAAAGATGATTGAGGTAACAAAGACCAGTTGTCATCAAAAGATGATGAAAAAGATGAAGATGGTGAGGATGGTGATGATGATGAAGGTAATGATGAAGAGTCTAGGGAAGAGGAAAGTGAAGAAGATGATGAAGATGATGATGGTGATGACGGACAACTTCAGAAAATCCTGGTGGACGTTGAAATTTAGGCACACACTCATAATGAACTTCAAGATATTTATAAGTTCCTGGACATAGGTCACCAAAGAAAGAGCTAGATGCTGGTAATAAGCAACTATTCTTACGATTACAATTTAATTGAATATTGGCAAAAGATTCAGGTGATTTACAATTTACACTCCATTCAAGATTTCCTTGGGAATTACATGTTGAAATACTAAAACGACCAAAATTGGCACGTATTAAGTTTATTATGTAAGGATCACCACAAGATAATGTTAAACTTGACCCTTCACAAGCGTATCCGGTTCGTCGTTGGGTAGTGAAAATTTCCTCTTCAGTTTGACCAGATACCAGAAAGAAAATGGGTATCCAGTGAAATAAAAGATGACCACCGAAAAGGAGACCAAGATGTCTTCGGATCATCGCTCAGCATCACACAAAGGAGAGTAATTTTTTAAAAAGAAAAGAATAATTGAAATTTTGAAGAAAACAAAAAGACACAAAAAAAATTACAAAATTAAAGAAGAAGAAAACAACATCAAACCACAAAAGTTTAGCCCATTAAACTATTGATGTTGCAAGTTGAAAGATGGCGGCGAGATGGTGATGATGATGAAGGAACAAAATTTATTATTAAAAAGATGGAAACATGAGAGAGAGAGAGAAAAAGAAAAAAAAATTTTCTCTTTTCCCAAACAAAGAAAATGAGTTACAATCTTTTACCAAGTTGAATAGAACAAGAAATGTAACATCACTTGATTGTTTAAAATGAAAGAAAAGACTTCTTGAACACAATTAATGTGAACAAATCAGTCAATTATTCCATAAAACCTGAAAATTAGAATGATGACAAGAACGTAAACACAATTAAAATCAATTACAATTAACTAACAAAATGAAAGAGAAAGGAAAATACCAAACAGATAGAAATAGAATAAAAAAAAAGAAAAAGTGAATTGAAAAGCTGCACAATTGATTGCCAATACAAACCTTTTATTAAATTGATCCAGTTACAAGGGCTCATCTTGTATTTCTCGTGTTGATTATTAAACTAATTGTTGAACTAATTAATGAACAAAGAGACATCACAACAAGAAATTAATTCCAAGCATTTGAATGTTGAACCTCAACTTGAGATTCTCAACATTTGATGAAATCGTTTTTCTGTCAACAACAAACTCCACCTTCAGTATAATTGAAGCGCTTCTTTCAAAAAGATTGGAAAACTAATCCAATCAATTAAATTGATTCAATTTAACTCATCTTGTCGAATATAAGTAATTGATTCTAATTCTCTAATTCTCTATTTCATTAGGGTCATGAGATTAGATCAATTCTTAAAATTAGAGGACAAAAGTTTTCTTTTTACAATCAATACACTTACTTCATAAGAACTTCGAGAACTTTATCTTCCAAGTTCGAACTTTTCCAATGGCCACCATTAACTTGAAATTCCTTTTCAAGTTTTCTGAAGAGAAAGAGTTTTCAAAGATGGACAATTATCTAAGAGTAGTACATGATGACGATTATAATAATGATTAATACCATCAACAGCGATTTCGAGAAACTCGATGCTAAAAAATCCAGCCCATTGTATCTAACTGAATAAGAAAAGATAGCGACAGATAGAGGTAGTAAAAATAAACAGATCTTTTTTTTTTGACAATTTGTTAACTGTCTACCTTTATCTATTATACTCAGAGTGTAAATATTTCACGATTAAACTTCCATGTAAACGATTTAAATTATCAATTGACAACATTCATTTTCTTCATCATCATTTGGTCTCATACTTTCAACGAATGCGGATGAGACTGAATCAAATTTGAATTTAACAGACCATTAAACCAAATACTAATTACATCAGGTCGAACTACAAAATATCTCTTCAGATGTATTAATATAAGTGACGGATCCAAAGGAATCATCAGTTTCCGTTACATTTTTGTTCAGTTTGATGACAAACGATTATTTAAATGTTCTGATCGCCATGTTTTTAAAAGTAACAAAAATAGCCTGTTTGGTGTTCAAAACGAGCCCAACGATAATCAACAATCCAAATACAATTAATTCAACCACAACAAAACTTTCCAATTGATAAAAACTCAATTTTCCGAAATGATTTTATTAGTCCACTTTGGATTACAGTTACATGAGTCGTTGCTCATGCACTAGAGAAATATAAAAATATTCTCTTCAAAGGATACAAAAAAATTAAAAACAATTAACGAGATTTCTCAAAATGTAAACAAACCTAAAGGGACTTTGTTAAAATCTCGGTTTGGATAAAAGTCTCTAGTTGGAAGTTGATGTTGTCTCTCAATTAGTTGATTGTCTTGTGATCAAACTAATGTTTTTGTTTTTAATTTTGTGTCAGTTTTCCCCTTGATTAATCAACATTCCACAAATGACCATTTGATTGTACTCATTGACCATCCAACCCAATCAAGAGTGACCAAGACAAACCAAAAACTGAAGGTAAACAAAGTAACTGGAAAATTTGGCGATTTCGGTTCCTTGGATTGGATTGATTTAATTTTTTAAATTGTTCAGTTTACAAAATACTGGATGTCCATTAATCCAGGAATATAAATGCAATAATCTTATTAATTAGTTAAGCAACACTGAGTCTGTTACAGATGAATTAAATTGTTACACTATGGACAGATTATGAGGTAAATCAAAATAAAGAATTGACTTTGAATTAATTATTAATACAAAATTGGCAATCAGGGACAGGTTATAATCGGTAGGACGGATTGACTATTTGGAGTATCGCTGCTGTTGATGAAACAATACCGATGAGTCCAATTTTCGACGGCGAAACTTTTAATTGTCCCAAACTGGCCATTGGTAGTAAAGTATCACAAATGTTTTTCACTGTATCGATTGAAACATTTTTATGTTTAAGTAAAATTGACCCAACAGTAGTTAGATATTCAACCGATCCCAATTGTTGTTTAATTTTCCTTAATCTTTGTTCACTTTCAATCAGTAGTTTAATTTCATGACAATCACGAAGTAGATTAAGAATTGAAGAGTATAACCAAAACCGATTACTTGTATCTGACCATTTGGACTCATCGATCTGAAGAAGACCAACTTTCTTTAGCCAAACCAAATGGTCAGCAAATAGAAACAAAGAGGAAGATATCCTGGAACTGGTGACAATCATCCTCAGAATTGGATCGGAAATTGATAAACTGGACATTGACGAATACATTAAATCAACACTACGGCCCAATCGAAGCACTAAATTGGCATCGGAAATGAGAAAGAAACAAAATCGATTAGTTCAATCAAATCATCCGAGTTTCTTTCTTGTGAACAACCTCCATGCATACGAGTCATTGTTGATTTTTTGACACTCGGCGAATATTTTGCAAACTAATTTGAATAATTGATCTTACATCTTCTGGAGAAACCTATTAAACTTTCCACTTCCTTGAGACGAGCAATTGTTTCCATGTTAGATGAGGACTTTTTTTCCAATAAAGACCAAGCTAAACGAAAAGAGAATTGCCAAAGCCTGGAAAAGAAAATGAGATAAACATATAGAAAAGAATTAGAATTGAGAAAAGATCAATTGCTTGACCAACAAGGAAACAATTTATTCCAATTGGAGCAATTGTACTGGTCAACTTACCTCAACACTTTGTCTCTGCCACTGGTTTGTGAATTAAGTCTCATTAATTGCTCCATAGTATTTGATTTGTATTAACAAAATAGATACAAAAAAGATGATCAGATCCTTGACTTGGGAGAATAGGATAACTTGCCAAACCTGTCTAATTATATTCACTTTTCAGGTTTATTCACGATTCTAGAAGGAAAATATCACCTTAAAATCATTAAATTTCAAAAGAATAAAAATAATGAAGAAAATAAATCGAAATTATCGAGAAAAGAATAGAAGTCAAACAGTTTGTTTACTATTCTCAGAAACAGCTGATCAAATGGCTTTGAGTCGATTGGAGTTTCATTTGGATTCTCTTTGAATCTCAACAGATGATTAATGGATCAATTTCAAAACCATTTCACAATCGAATTAATCACTGAACAAATTGTAAGGGAATCAATTTCATGGCAAATATTCTTGAGCCAATTCCTAAGAATCAAGTAATTGTCAAAGCGAATGCACAATCGCCAAAGAACGAAGCTCTTAATGTTCAGCCATGAACTTCGAAGCGAAGTCACAAACAACGTTCTGATCTAACCGTTTATTTTTTCGTTCGAAAAATGCTCTAATTTCAATTATGTTCTAAACTTCGATAGATAAAAACATTGTTATTCAGAATGACAGTTAATAATTTTGTCACATGAAAAGTTTAATTATCAATCGGTAATCCTGAATTTCCAATAATTATTCTGTTTCAGTGGCAATTTACAAATGAACTTTTCACATTTTCAGAAGTTTTTACTTGGCCAATTATGATGGTCTGAGTTTTTTAATTGAAAGTTGTAATTAACAAATAAATCCGATTGTGAGCATCACATTTTTTGCATTCGATCATGTTAGTACATGTACTTGTAATACAGCAATTAACTATCAACCAACAGAGCCCAAGTAAAACTTAAACCTTTGATTATCTTGTTCGCCTTTAAGGTGATTATCAATAATTTTAATTCAATTTTCTATGCTTTTCATAATAATCCAGAAATTCAATTGTTAATCATGTTCATAGTTTGAGTGTGAAAATTTACCATTCATAACATTAAGGTTTACTTTTAGTGGATATCAACTCAAGTTTTGTCTTTTAACAATTAAAAACCAAAATGGTGAAATAATTAATATTATTAATGATCATAAATATCAATTGTTTAACTTATTTGGTCATCAATTATTGAGGAAATATGAGTTTCTAGTTGGCCGCTAATTAACCAGTACCAGTGTAATTATCACGAGCGTCTTACTGTTCAATCATTCAATACTTTCATCTACAATTTATGATTTAATATTTTTAGATTTTGATTAAATCAACCAGCAGATAAAACAAGATATTGTTAATGATTTATCATTTGTGTATTACTTAATTACTTTATTGTTATATGATTTCTTATTCATTGATTAAATTTTCTTTACTTTTGATAACGTTGTTATTACTATTCGTATTTTCTTCTTTAGGAATTGGCTTGTATCCATTGGCGATTGGTAACTTTGATTCTGATTTAACGAAAATCAGATAAGAATAGACTAAACTTCCGATCATACTGATATTTAATCCGATAAAATTAACGTAAGAAAAAATGTAATCGCCACCAATATACATTCCAATGTAAGTGACAAGAATATTCTGTAAAATTTCATCATACAAAAGGAGAGAGAAGAGAAAATTAATTAAAGCGATGAAAGGGTATAATTAATTTTAATGGAGAATAAATTAATTAATCAAACTCACCTTAAGACATCCAACTATTGTAGTAGTTAAGGCCGAATTGTATGAAGTACATAAAACAGTTGAATACATGAGTAGAAATCCCATAATACATGATGAAAGGAATGAAGTTAAAAAAGGTAAATTAGTCCAATGTTCAAATTGATATGAAAGGGCCAATTCCCCCGTCGACCAGGAAATTAATATCATTGGGGGTAACATGAAAAGACTATTATAAAATAAGAGTCCATATTTTCCCAGGTCTTTGGCATCCAGTTTCTCTTTCATGTAAACACCATTAGCGGCCGTGAAAAGGTCATTACTCAGAACCAGAATATAGCCTTGGGCATCAAAGGAGAGATCGTTGCTAGCAGCAATTAAAGCTCCTCCAACCATTGCAACAACTGTCATTATTATTGAGGTACTTGATTTAATATTGAGAACCAAATATTCACCAATTAATGTCATTAATATGGCGAATCGACGTAAAACCGTGAACATTGGTAAACTTAATCTTTGCGTTCCTCCAAGGCCACAAATTAAGTTACCAATATAAAATAGCGGCAATGGAAATACTTTTCTAGGTATTTCTAAACTATAATCTGGATAACTGATGATGGACATTGATTTACCAAAGGAAAGGATTAACAAAGTCGCAACCATTTGACCAAGGCCAAGAAATTTTGCTGACGGAAATCGATAAGAAGTAAGGACCACTTTGTTAACGGCAATGATTAGGAACGATGAACAGCCATAGAAAAGAGCAGAAAATATCTTCATATAAACTATATTTGATCGGCCAGAAGAGTGAGTAAAATATGATTTAATTTTACTATAAAATCCAACAGATTGGCTACTAGTTGATAATTGTTTATAACTGAAATCAAACAAAGAATCACTTTTCGACATAGTTAACTGGCAATTTAATTTGGCAACAAATGGAAGTGAAAGATTAACTTTTCCAAAACTGTGTAGAATTTAAAAGAAAAGGGAAAACCAGAATAAAAGGAGAAAAAAATACAAGCGCCACGATGAATCCCGAATCTCTTCTTGAACACAATTAATGTGAACAAATCAGTCAATTATTGTTCCATAAAACCTGAAAATTAGAATGATGACAAGAACGTAAACACAATTAAAATCAATTACAATTAACTAACAAAATGAAAGAGAAAGGAAAATACCAAACAGATAGAAATAGAATAAAAAAAAGAAAAAGTGAATTGAAAAGCTGCACAATTGATTGCCAATACAAACCTTTTATTAAATTGATCCAGTTACAAGGGCTCATCTTGTATTTCTCGTGTTGATTATTAAACTAATTGTTGAACTAATTAATGAACAAAGAGACATCACAACAAGAAATTAATTCCAAGCATTTGAATGTTGAACCTCAACTTGAGATTCTCAACATTTGATGAAATCGTTTTTCTGTCAACAACAAACTCCACCTTCAGTATAATTGAAGCGCTTCTTTCAAAAAGATTGGAAAACTAATCGAATCAATTAAATTGATTCAATTTAACTTATCTTGTCGAATATAAGTAATTGATTCTAATTCTCTAATTCTCTATTTCATTAGGGTCATGAGATTAGATCAATTCTTAAAATTAGAGGACAAACGAAGAGTAAAACAGAGACAAAACTTAAGAACTTCGAGAACTTTATCTTCCAAGTTCGAACTTTTCCAATGGCCGCCACAACTTGAAATTCCTTTTCAAGTTTTCTGAAGAGAAAGAGTTTTCAAAGATGGACAATTAATTAAGAGTAGTACATGATGACGATTATAATAATGATTAATACCATCAACAGCGATTTTGAGAAACTCGATGCTAAAAAATCCAGCCCATTGTATCTAACTGAATAAGAAAAGATAGCGATAGACAGTAAAAATAAGCAAATCTTTTTTTTGACAATTTGTTAATTGTCTACCTTTATCTATTATACTTAGAGTGTAAATATTTCACGATTAAACTTGGGGGGAAACAGATGAAACTTCCATGTAAACGATTTAAATTATCAATTGACAACATTCATTTTCTTCATCATCATTTGGTCTCATACTTTCAACGAATGCGGATGAGACTGAATCAAATTTGAATTTAACAGACCATTAAACCAAATACTAATTACATCAGGTCGAACTACAAAATATCTCTTCAGATGTATTAATATAAGGGACGGATCCAAAGGAATCATCAGTTTCCGTTACATTTTTGTTCAGTTTGATGACAAACGATTATTTAAATGTTCTGATCGCCATGTTTTTAAAAGTAACAAAAATAGCCTGTTTGATGTTCAAAACGAGCCCAACGATAATCAACAATCCAAATACAATTAATTCAACCACAACAAAACTTTCCAATTGATAAAAACTCAATTTTCCGAAATGATTTTATTAGTCCACTTTGGATTACAGTTACATGAGTCGTTGCTCATGCACTAGAGAAATATAAAAATATTCTCTTCAAAGGATTAAAAAAATTAAAAAATAAATAAAAAAATAAAAAACAATTAACGAGATTTCTCAAAATGTAAACAAAGCTAAAGGGACTTTGTTAAAATCTCGGTTTGGATAAAAGTCTCTAGTTGGAAGTTGATGTTGTCTCTCAATTAGTTGATTGTCTTGTGATCAAACTAATGTTTTTGTTTTTAATTTTGTGTCAGTTTTCCCCTTGATTAATCAACATTCCACAAATGACCATTTGATTGTACTCATTGACCATCCAACCCAATCAAGAGTGACCAAGACAAACCAAAAACTGAAGGTAAACAAAGTAACTGGAAAAACACAATTTGATTTCCATTTCCTTGTCAATTTCAATTAAATTGTAATTCCTGATTGCAGATCAACCTCTCAACCAGAAAAGGTAAGCTATTAATATTTATGATCTGTTGTTAATTATTTCACCATTTTGGTTTTTAATTGTTAAAAGACAAAACTTGAGTTGATATCCACTAAAAGTAAACCTTAATGTTATGAATGGTAAATTTTCACACTCAAACTATGAACATGATTAACAATTGAATTTCTGGATTATTATGAAAAGCATAGAAAATTGAATTAAAATTATTGATAATCACCTTTAAGATGAACAAGATAATCAAAGGTTTAAGTTTTAACTTGGGTTGATTGTTAATTATTGTATTAACTGATTGTTAAAGATCAGTTAAAAGAAATTCAATCGTTTCTTGAGCTGTTTTGTATTATTAATTAATAATTAAAGGTTATTCTTGATATTTCAAGGATTTTGTTCAAATAAGAACCTCAATCATCTTGAATTAACCTGTTAAACTACTTTGATTGATTTTAGATCTTCAGTTGAAATCATCATTCGAATAATCTGATTCTTGATGAGTGCAAATTGTTTCACTTGATTGTTTATTTATCTTTTTTATATTAATAATAAGAGTCTATTTTATGATTACAGTCAATCGTTTTCTAGCAACAATCAGGGAATAAAAGAGAGTTAGTCATCAATAGCTCCATGTTAATTCATGTCTACATGACTTTTTTTGTTAGATTGAAGATTAAGATAATTACGATATTGATAAATTGTGCCATTAAAATCTAAATCATTTTCTATCATATAATTGGGTCTTTTTCTCGAGTAAAAGTTAATCGTGAAACCGATTACCACAGTAGCGGTAAGCACCATGATCGACGGCCAAAAGGTAAAAAAGTGCACATCAGTAAATTCCTCGCTTTTCAGCGCTGGCGATAAATACAGAGAAACACGGCAATGATTTACTATATTCTTATATATTTTACTCATACTGTTATCTAATTGTCCTTGATTAATCTTCCATTTATCTCTTCTCTTCTGTTTTTCACCTCTATGGTTATTAAATTAATCACTAGTAGGTTATAAAAACTTGAATTGATCACAGAATTGTTACAAATCAGTTGGATTGGTACTGGTGACAGTTAATTGTACTCTTAATTTGGTTGAGTCCTAGTTAATTATGGCCTTACGTCGACTTAGTGTTTTTTCATCATATTTTACCAAAGTAAGTGAAGGAAAAAAATGTTGGACTTTTCATAAAATGTAAATTAATTGTTGATTATTGTTGATTGTAAATAGATTGATGAAAATAGTGCAAGACACGGAGGAGAGTTAATTGCTCAGACAATACATTCACATGGAGTGGAACACATTTTTACCCTTTCAGGAGGTCACATTTCACCGATATTAACTGCCGCTGAGAAACTAGGAATTCGTATTTTGGATACAAGACATGAAGTAAATGCCGTTTTTGCTGCCGATGCGGTGGCTCGGATTTCGGGTAAACCGGGTGTCGCTGTGGTCACTGCGGGTCCAGGTATTACCAATACGATTACTGGAATTAAAAATGCTCAGATGGCTGAATCACCCGTCGTGTTGTTTGGTGGTTGTCCGGCAACTCTTCTGAAAGGTAAAGGAGCCCTTCAAGATATTGATCAAATGTCGTTAATGAAATCAGTCACAAAATGGCAGAAAACAATCACACGAGTTCGAGATATTGTTCCGATCGTACGAGAAGCTTTCCAAGTAGCTCAATCAGGAACTCCAGGTCCAGTGTTTGTTGAGTGTCCGCTTGATATTTTGTACCCTTACAAAATGGTTAGCCGAGAGATGTCTGCTAAAAGTAAATCTAACGATTTAATGTCCAAGTTAACAAATGGATATTTAAATCTCTATGCTAAAGATTTATTTGCAGGGGCATTTGACCAGCAATGGCCCACTGATCCTCTACCGATTTCTTTCCCAACACCAAGTGAAGGAGACATATCAAGGGTCATTAGTTTACTTCAAGGTGCTAAACGACCATTGATTTTATTGGGATCACAATCAGTGTTACCACCGATTGGTGCTCACAAATTGAAACAAAATATTGAATCGTTAGGAATACCCTGTTTTCTTGGGGGAATGTCCCGAGGTCTTTTGGGCAGGAAATCGCCCATTCAGATGAGACAATCTCGTCGGGATGCTCTGAAAGAAGCTGATCTAATTATTCTCGGTGGAATAGTAACTGATTTTCGGCTTAGTTACGGTCGCGTTTTACCAAAAAGTGCCAAAATAGTTGCCATTAATCGTAGTAAAGAGCAATTGTATAAAAATCATGGGATCTTTTGGAATTCGGAAGTTGCCATTGAAGGAGATGTTGGTTCATTTTTCGATGGATTAGCTGATGAACTAAAGAGTAAAAATTTCACTGTTGATCAAGGATGGATTAAAGCGTTGAGAGAACGAGATGATTCAAAGGAATCTAAAACCTCAACAATGGCAGAAGCCCCAACAGATCAGCATTTGAATCCAATTAAATTGCTCACTGAACTTGAAAATGTTATCCCTGAAAATAGTATTCTAATTGCCGATGGCGGTGATTTCGTTGGTTCAGCTTCATACATTGTCCGACCTCGAGGACCTTTATGTTGGCTTGATCCCGGAGCATTTGGTACACTTGGTTGTGGTGGTGGATTTGCTCTTGGTGCTAAAGCTGTAAAACCCGATGCCGATGTTATCATTTTGTATGGAGACGGTTCACTTGGATATTCAATGATCGAATACGATTCTTTCGTCCGTCATAAACTCCCCGTGATCTCGGTTGTCGGTAATGATGCTTGTTGGACACAAATCGCTCGAGAACAAAAACCAATCCTTGGTTCCGATGTTTCCTGTAACTTGGCTTATACTAATTACGAAAAATGTGTCGATGGATTGGGAGGCAAAGGCTTCCTTTTAGATGCTTCCAACGGCGATAACATGAAAGCGGTTCTAACAGCGGCTATTCAATTGGCCCGTCAAGGAAGTCCAACCTTAGTCAATGTGCTAATTGGTAAGACTAAATTCCGAGAGGGAAGTTTATCCGTTTAAACGATTCAATTCCAATATTTTATTCTAACGAAAAAGAAAATTCGATTTTAATATAGATTGATTTCCAACACAATTAGTGTACCTTGAACACCAATCAAATTATATCTTCGTCTAATTAAATGTTATGCAAATGAAAATCATTATCATTTGGATCTGATCTTTAATCTGAACAACTAAAGCTCAATTAATCATGTAAAATAACTCGTCTTAATTCAGTCGTAGAAAATATTATTCCCCTACATTGAGAACCATTTGAATACTGATAATGAGACTTGAGATTATTACTATACAATTAATTGAGGAACAATTTAATTACTCACCTTAGTTAATGACTTTATGGTCTAATTGTCTTCGATATTTTTCAAGCTCCTGAGAAAAGAAATGGACTTGTTGATTATCTCATGCAAATTGTCAAGTAAATTACCTCATATCTTTGAGTTCTAATCAAATCAACATCTCTTTCTTTGAAATTTTCATCTTTTGCTGGATCATCAGGCAGAATTAACTCAATTGCAATTTGATTCCATCTTTTGATCATTTTGTTTTTCAATATTTCCAATGAATCTCCGTCCAAAAAATTTGAAGGGTCACTTTCACTCGGCATCCAGATCGGGTTATTGTTATCAAAACGAGCCTCAGGTAATTCTGATTGATGATTAAATGCATATTTTTTTAGCAAAGATTTGATTCGGTTCACTAATTGATCTCGTTTGATGCTCGTGTAAATCAGTGAACATCCTTCAGTTTGTGAAAGGCTGCAAAGATATTTACTTATTAGCCGACGATCGTCCGGTTCCATGTCCTATTAATTGTGAGAGTGCAAATTGTAGACTCAATTCAAGGTTTATTCGAGCGCTCACCTGAAAAAGGTCATATTTATTGGCCATTATAATGATTGGAATCGATAAATTTGGTAAAAGTTTCTTAATGTTACTACTGCTCATTCTTTCGGCTTTATTACGGCTGATTGATGATCGTCGTTCGTTGGATTGTTTTTTAATGAAAGGCGAGATTATCTCGCATATATTTTGCAGAAGACATTCTGTGACTGAGACTAATTCATTAGGTCGACTTAAATCCAGGACAATTACGATAGCCATTGATCTAGATAATTAGTCGAAGTTAAATTGAAATTAATCTTCGGATTTTACTATTGACTAATTGTAATGATCGTACTTTATATTATCCTCTTTTAGTACAAATGGTAACAATTTAAGCAGATAAGTAGCATCTCCTAATTCCCAAATATCACATAACTGGTTCTGAGAAAAAAATAGACAATTTGAAATTAGAAAATTAAATCTAATCCAGTTCAACTTACTCCATCTCCGATTTTCTCTGAATGAGTAGATAAATAGTTCAGAGCCAATGTCGGTTTGGGCTCATCTTTGCGATCCATGAACCGATTAATTATACTTGATTTCCCCTTAAATCCATTTAAAAACACGATAAAAAAACAATACTTAATCAATAATCAAGAGAATTTTGGAAACAATTAAACTTACCGATTCTTTAGATCCAATAAACAAAAGAGTTTGTTTTGTTTCTTTCAAATTAAATTCTGATTTCAAATCAACTGCGAGATCCCAGACAGTTTTCCTACTCAGATAACCAAAAGAAATCAACAAATTTATAATTAACAATCAAAGAAAATACTTAATTAAATTACCTTGATGAAACCATTTTCTCAATCAATTTAAAATCGGTTTGTTGTTGACAACAAAAGTTTTGTTTCTAAGTCCAAAAAATGCGCGAACTTCAAATTCATCAATCGGTCGGAATTATTTCCTGTTTACAAACAATAAATCGACATCTTAATTGTACCAATTTGTTTTATTTTAATAATTTTAGCGAGTGTAGAATTTGATTTGCAGTCAAATATTGGTATTTTACAGTTTTCAAAGCTCAAGGTTCCAAGTGTTAGTTAACAGATATTACAAGTGAGATTACAATTGATTAGTGTTAATTTAGTTCACCAAAACCAATTAATAAAAAAAAGAAAGTAGATATTGAGACTCAACTCGATAGCGAAATGAAAATTATGTATAAAAGTAGAGATATATAATCGTTATTGAAGATGGCTTTCAGAAAGATCGTGCGGTAAAATAAGATTACGAACGCAATTAGCTGATTACAATTAGAAGATAAAAGTTCAATCGTTTGATTGGAGGCATTTACATAATCAGTGAGATCGTACTTTAGGACAGAGCAAAAGTAAATAAGTCAGAAGCGATCACAATGATAATCATCTATTCTGATATGGATCAATTTTTCACCCTGATTTGTATAAGTTACAGGAAGAATGAATAAAAATTGATTCCACCAATGGAGCCAAACATGATCATCATGAATCTGAGAAATAGAAGTAAAAATATTTTCTCCAGGTCAATTAAAGTCGATTTCATTTTAATGAACTTGGAGGCAGTGCAACGAGAGCAGCATCGATTGTGGATCCACGTTATCAACTAATCCATTGGCACTTTAATTAAATTTACATCGAAAAATTTCATCAAAATTTTAAACGTTAGTTTCCGAGTCTTCACTAATTCGAGAGAGAGTCCAGAAACAATGAGTCCCATTGTCTAGAATGATGAGGAGAGAGAAAAAGAGAAAAGTTGTTAGAAATGATGATTAACTGTTTGTGCGTAGATGATGACTGCTCAAGCAATTAGAGTTCTCATTATAATTTACCATTTACATGGTTCTTTGATTCATGACTAGTTATTTCTTTCTGGATTCAAGATCTTTGGGTGAAGTTGAAAAAAGAAAATAAGAGAAATAAAGAATGAGAGAGAGAGAGAGAGAGAGAGAGAGAGAGAGAGAGAGAGAGAGAGAGAGAGAGAGAGAGAGAGAGAGAAAAGAAACTAAAGATGACAAGAGAACAAATGAAATAAAGAGAGTAAACGGTTTGACTAAAAGCAGGTGACGGGAAAATGTCTCATTTAGAATACGAATTGAGAGAAAAGTTCTGGTTGGATGATCTGTCATGTATTGTGAATCGCTGAGTTGTAAGTGAATCTTTTCAAAGTAAAAGATGAGCAATGATTATTTATAATGGTTAAACAATTACCGTGAATCTCTCGTTTGACTACATGATCCATGGCTCGATGAATCGGCATGATGAGCTTTGAGTTCTCGTTGAGTTGATGATCAACACTGAAATTATTACTAATCGTATCCGTGACGAATAAAAGTTTTTTAACCAAATCTCGACCAAGAACGCTGTCCATCAATGTTTTCAGATAAATGTCATCGGATATAATTAATTTCAATTTATCTCGATGCCAAACAATAAGACGACACTCCTCAAGGGCAACTATGGTTACTTGATAAGCATCACTGGTCCCAACACCAAACCATTCGGGTGAATCAATAAATTGATGCCCATCAATTAGATGAATGGCTCGACCATTTTTGAGAATCGCCAATCGTCCAGAAAGTAACAATGATAATTTATCAACAGGAGTTTTGCCTTCAACACAATAAATATCATGAGCCTTGAGAACTTGAATCTCTCTGATTGATTTGTATAACTGATTAAATGAATAGCGGGAAACATTTAATGGCTGGAAAAGATCCCTGGATAATATGAAAATCAAAGAAAAGAAAAAAGTAAATCATTATAATCACCAAAAAAGTTATTTTCGTAATCAGTTGGTTCAGGGTGAAAGTTAATTTGCAAATAGTAACAACAGAATCATTTCAATCATCATGTTAATCTCAGCGTGATTGGAATTGATTGATAATAGAGAGAATCGAATGACTTGAAAATAGAAAGATTCAACTTTAACCAAAAAAAGTTCTGGCTCATCATCATCATGGTAACAAGAATTATTCTGGTTTTTTAGGTTTGGTCAGTTATGGTTTTTACTGTGAATCTTTCAGAACAAACTTGTTGCTCAATAAGTTGAGAGAAGTCAAATGATAGTTTTACATTAATCGAAAATGAGATGAAAGAATATGATATAAGCGTGTTTTATGTGGATCATGATGGTGATGGTGAAAATGGAACGATAATAATAATAGAAACAGATCACGCACTGAACTTCCTTATTTGTTGTTCAAGTCAGAATAATATTCCTACGCACAAACAAATGAACCATTTTTTTGACAATGTTGTTTACCTAATCAATTAACAAATATAATTAGATAAACAAATAGTAGGCGATAAATTAATTGTCTCGATTACTTTTCTGTCCATTCTGATATTAAGTGGGTAGTTATCATGTTATTGTTATAATACTTTCAACAGTCTAATCACTTTGTACTTCATTGGTAGTGGACACTTTAGATAAACTGATTTTTATCATTCTCTTTCTACCTCTCCCTTTCTCCTTCATGGTGACTGAATTGAAATGAATTTGTAATGAGAGGTACAATCCGGTGTAACTGTCAGATCGATTATGGATATTGTTTACGAAAGATTAATGCACATGATGGTTGAACTAGAGGAAGATAAATTCTCAAGAAAGAAGATAAACATCTGGGTAAATGTATCCATAGTGAAGGGACTCACAGAACAGGAAGGAAACCAAAGGCAAGGAGAAAGTAATTCTAATTACCTGTAGACAAGTTCAACATCTCGAGGAAATTTGATGAATGGATGTAGTTTGTATAGAAGGATAAACACATAAACCGCATGGATTATAAAGAAGAGAAGATTCCAAATAACTGAATCGATTGAGCAGACATTTATGTAAGCCCATAGAGCCAAACAAAGAGATCCAATGATGAGACAACATCTCATGAACAATAATCCAACAAGACTGGTTGATGTAAGGTAAGAGATTAAGATAAATCCATTTGCAAGTTGAAACAAAGGCTCATTAATCAATCCACTTGAAGGATCACAGAGATTTAAACGATTGGTTGATGATCGACTTATAAATTGGGTTAAATTAAAGTAATTATTGGAGAGAAGATCCATTTCTTGGTCCCGATGGAAAAATAGAAAAACAAAATGTTCTCTTTCTTTGTTTTTCTCTCAATGGTCAATGTTACACTCTCAAGATTTTTGCTCTATCTTTAAGCTCACCAGAAGTAACCGGTTAACCCTAGAAAAAGAAAGACAAATAATTAATAATTAATGGTGACAGTGGACTAATCTATTGATGGAACAATCAAATTAATCTAAATTTGATTACAATTTGATTGACAATAAGAAGGAAAAAGGTTTTGGTTGTGTTCACATTGGAGGGAAAGGAGAGTCTTAATTCAATTGACTTACCACATTAGAAATCAAATGTTAGATGATTGAAAGAAACATTGACGAGTTAATTTAATTGTTACAAGATGGTTAACATGATTAATAGAAAATAAATATCAAAAGTATCACATTAATTGCAACTAAATTAGTTAACCATTTGAGGAACAATCGGTTTTGTGTCACAAGAAAGAAATTAATGTTTACAGAAAAAAAATCCAGAAGAAAATGTGAAATGGAAGAAAAAAGAAAGAGCAAAAAGAAAGAGAAAAAGGGAAAGAGAAGAAAAGAAAGAAAGAGAAGAAAAGAAAGAGAAGAAAAGAAAAGAAAGAGAAGATAAAACGAGTTTATTTGGAATAGAAAATTAAATTATTATTAATTTTTAATTGTTAACAATCAGTTGAACAACTGTCGATTCTAATTTATTGACAACTATTATTTTTAGAGCTCCAGTAATTACCTGGTGGATCGATTAACCATCAATGTGGATTAAATTGTTACCATTTAGATTGAGACAATTTATTGATTGTTCTCGACAATTAATCTGTCAACCTTGAGTTAATTGTAATTCACCTAATTGAACAATTAATGGATATTTACATGATTTACCTTTTTATGATTAGTGTTTTCATGAAGATATAAAAAGTAACACTTAACTATTATTTTCCAAGTTTAATTGTTATTGATTTGAAATAATCGATTGTTACAATTTACTGTTAACTAAATAGAGGTCAAAGTTAAATTGATTATCATCTTAAATCATAATCTACTTGAATGTTGGCTGAGGATTTTTATTGCAAGAAAATTTAATCAATTGTTTACTCTAATTGTTGAGCTAATTGTGATCAACGAATGATAATCAATTTGATTGTTGATAGCCTTGGATTTGGGGAAAAATTAATCAACAGTTAGTGATGATTTTTAACTAAATCAGGTTAAATACCCAAGGATATTTTCAATTGGAAACCAGGAAATTTAATTGTAAATTATTTAATTTAATTGAAGATAAACAATTAACTCGTCAAAATTTAAAGAATCATTTTATTAATCAGCGCGTTCTTTTTAGTTGATTAGATTCTAATGGTAATTGGAGGTCAAAGGACAAAAGATTTACGCAATTTTCGAGAGTTTAAGTGTACGGAAAATTTAATTTAATCTTCTTTATTTAATTTAATATTCTTAATCGAACAGAGTTTGATGAAAATGGATCTTGGATGGCCACAGATTCGAGTGCCTTTAACCAAATCAGTTACCAATTTACTTCTCTGTCCATATTGAATTGAAATGGATTTCGTAGCATTTAAATATCCTTCAGTTGTCACTGAATTACAATATTCACAGACACAAATAGATCAGACTGGTTACTGACTAACCAGATCGGACTGAGGACAGTCTTGAGAATTGTTTTGCTATCAGGTTCGAGATCACACTTTGACAGGCCAAAGTCCGTTTTTCAACTTTGGACTTTTAGCTAACGGAATTTTGGCCCACCGAAGTTTGATCTCGAACTTGCCGTTAGTTTTACAAGATTTGCATAATAAATTTGAGCAAAATTCAATTGGCAAACCCATAAACTTTACTAATAGAAACCTCATAATATTGTCACGCTTCTTATACTGACCAACCCTAATTTTTAACCAATCAAAGCTCTTTGTGAGTTAAACACCAACTTTGACCCTACGAGAACTCCCACCTGATGATAAAAGGAGCTTAGTTTATGACCCGGGGGGCAATATAATCTTGTGTATCCTCGAGTGCAGTTGCACTTTTTACTTTAAGCTCTTTGCTAATAAAGATTATCTTCATTCTTAACCTTAATCAGTTTTAGTTTTAAGTTTCAACTAGAAAGTTGTTACATTTTGGCGACCCAGGCAGGATAATCGAGTGAAATCCTGTAGTATTTTTGAGTTTTTGTGTTTTATGTTACAAGTTTTGTTTATTCTTGAGTGAAAACTACAACTTTTGTCAACCTTTGTTGATAAGTTTTTGATCTCAAATTGTGAGATTTGGTGTTTTTGTGAAGTAAAGTAATTCTGATTACTTAAGTTTCATATCCTGTGATTGTGTTTGGTATTTTCATCGTTTTAGTTGAGAAATAAAAGTGCTATAATAACTTTTGGAGGAAAAATTCGCTCTCGTGCTTGTTGGGTTTTGGTGTTTTTGTGAAGTAAAGTCGTTTTGTCTACAAGAGAATCGTTTGGAGTCCATATTTCCGGTGTTTTCTGTCAACTTTTTTTGGTATCGACGTTTATAATCAATTGAGGAGAATAATTTTTGGATTGGAAGCATTTAGTTTCAGGCCATTTCAAGGTAAGACAGAAAAGATTTATTTTACATGATGACTTCTAACGACGATCACTTCGATGAAGAACAATTGAATCGATTAGGTCTTGAAATTTCAAGCAACCTTTTGAGTTCGAACCTTTATTCAGTACCGATATTTCGTGGTGATGATAATGCAAGCGCAGGAGCTTGGTTGAATAAATTTGAAACCGTTTGTAATCATTTTAATTGGTCAAATGATCAATGTAAGTTGAAATTTCGAAGTTGGCTCGCTGGTCCAGCTTCTAATTGGTTTCAAATCAAAATATCTGATCAGATAACTGACTTCAAGGAAATTAAGAGAATATTTCTTGAAGATTTTGCGGATGAAGACAAACTCGAAAAGATGAAAAATAGAGTTTTGAATCGTTTTGAGAAGATACAAACTTATGTTTACGATAAAGTTGGTCTCTGTAGAGACGTAAATCCTTCGATGACAAATAATGAGATCCTCAATTACTTGTATGAAGGAATGCCTGTTAAATTGCGAAATGCTATTTGTATTGCAGGTCCGAAGAACTTTCAGGATGTAATAACTGTAGGAAAACGTTTAGAGAACGTTTCCAATGATAATTTTGAAGAAGAGAAACGAGATAAAACTGAGAAGATGTTGGAAAAATTGATGGATGAAATCACTCAGTTAAAATTAGACAAAGATAAAAATCAAAGTAGAAACTTTAATCCACAATCTCAGCAAGTTAACCAAAATCGACCTCGTTTTCAGAGAAATTCTGATGGACAAATGAGATGTTATGATTGTGGAAGGTATGGTCATGTTGCTCGCTTTTGCCATTTCAATAAGGATAGAAACTTTAGAGGTGGAAGACCAGAACAGAATAATTTCAGACGATTCAATAACAACAATCAGTCTAATTATGCTCAGCAGAATCAATATGAGTCCCAAACTAACCGTAGAATTCCACAAATTCCAGAAAATCCGAATGCCAATGCTCGGCCTGTAGGTCTCATTTCGGTTGATAGAATCATGGTCAAAGTACACATCAATGATAAAGCGTTTACTGCAATTGTTGACACCGGGGCAGAAAGCTCTTTCATTACCTCAAACTGTTTCCTCGCTTTGGGATGTGCCCTGAAACCATGGGAAGGAGGTGGAATAAGAGGAATCAATGGTTCCTTGAAAATTCCTATCGGTGAGATTGACGTAGATGCGAAAATACAGCAAGAAGACAGAGAAGCTAAAGTGTCATTCAAAGCTAGGGTATTAGAATATTTGCCATACGATATTATAATCGGAATGTCCACAATGAAAGAGGCTAAAGCTCTGATAGATCCATGCTCAAACAAGGTTTATTTTCGGTCAGATACCCCGAGTTTGATTAAAGAAGATGAGAATGTTTCTGAAACAAAAATTAAAACACCAACTTCTATGATAGTGAGTGCGAAAATTGGAACTCTAATTCCACCGAAATCATCGGTTAAAATACCAGTAATAGTTAAGCAAAGTTCCAAAATAAATGAAGAAGTTTCCATCAAACCAGGAGATAAATTTGTCAAAACCACTAGATTAAACTTAGCCACAAATCAAATCAAACTTAAGGATAGTGAAGGAGAAGCAACCATATGTAATTCAGAAAATTTCAGTTTCTATATCAAGACCGATGAGATAATAGGAAAAGTAAAAACCCTACTAAGCCGAAAAGAATCGGTGCTTATGAGCGAAGAAATTGAGCAAACCACAATGATAGAATCAGAAAAGAATCAAGCAGTTGAATCTGAATTGAGCTCGTTATGTTTAAGTAAAGGTACTGTAGCAGTAGGTGAATCGCTTGATCCACATCAGAAAGACAAGTTGAAGAACGTGTTAGAAACGTTCATCGATACCTTTGCGTTTGAAAAAAATAAATTGGGTAAAACTAACCTATGCCAGCATCAAATTGATACCGGAGAAAATCGACCTTTTTCTCTACCACCTTACAACATTTATTCATTAGCAGAAAGGTTAGAAGTTAAAGAGGAAATTAATCGAATGAAAAACTTGGGGGTCATAGTTGAATCAACATCACCTTACTCATCTCCAGTAATACGAGTCGGAAAGAAGGATGGAGGAGTGAGAATCTGTGGTGATTTTCGAAGATTAAATAAAGATACAATTCCAGATAACTATCCTTTACCTAGTGTTCAGGATGCTCTTGACTGCATTTCAGGGTCAAGATTCTTTTCTCTTATTGACTTAAAATCAGGTTATTGGCAAATAGAGATAGACCCAAAGGATCGAGAGAAAACTGCCATTATCACGCGAGACGGATTATATGAGTTCGTGGTTATGCCTTTTGGCCTCAGAAATGCGCCAGCAACTTTTCAGAGATTGATGGATACCTTACTCTCTGATCAAAAATGGATAACTTGTATTCCTTATTTAGACGATGTATTGATCTTTTCTCAAGATTTCGAACAACATTTAGTTCACATCGAAACAATTCTCAACCGCCTGAAAATCGCCAATTTAGTTATCCAACCACCGAAAGTGGCATTCGCCGTTAATTCTATTAATTATTTAGGCCATATAGTTAGTTCGAAGGGAATAAAACCCCAACCAGAGAAAATAAAAGCCATACTTGAGCTTTCACCACCTACCAATTTAAATGCTTTGAGACAATTTTTAGGACTTGCCTCTTATCATAGACGATTCATTTACAATTTTTCGATAATTGCCAAACCATTAAGCTCATTAACAATGAAAGAAGCTCTTTTTAAATGGGAAGAAGAGCAACAACAAGCGTTCGAAACCTTGAAAGCAGCTTTAGCTACACAGCCAATGCTTTCTCACTTTAATAATAAGTTACCAACCGAAGTTAGATGTGATGGATCAGCGATAGGCCTCGAGCTATTCTTCTCCAAAAGAGAATAACCTTAACCATGTAGTTGCCTATGCCTCGAATGACCACTAAAGCAG